CTGATCATTGATGAGGTTCACATGCTTCACGATGAGCGTGGTGCTGTCCTGGAATCTCTCGTCGCCAGAACCGAGCGCCAAGTTGAGAGCACCCAGTCGTTGATTCGTATCGTCGGTCTCAGTGCCACGCTTCCGAACTACGTGGACGTTGCCGACTTCCTCAAAGTAAATCGGCACGCTGGTATGTTCTACTTCGACGCTTCATTCCGCCCGGTACCTTTGGAGCAACACTTCATCGGTGTGAAGGGCAAAGCTGGTTCCAAGGCGTCCAGGGAGAACTTGGACCAAGTTGCCTTTGAAAAGGTCAGGGACATGCTCCAGAGAGGTCACCAAGTCATGGTCTTTGTTCATTCGCGACGAGATACTCTCCTGACGGCCAAAATGCTATACGAGAAGGCTATAGAAGACTTTTGCGTGGATCTGTTCGATTCGACAGACCACCCAAATTACGAGAACGCTGTACGAGACATGAAGCAGTCCAAGGCCCGAGATCTGCGAGAACTGGTGCCCAAGGGCTTGGGTATCCATCACGCTGGTATGGCACGCTCCGACAGAAATCTTATGGAGAGGCTCTTCGGAGAGGGCGTTCTCAAGGTTCTCTGCTGTACGGCGACTCTCGCTTGGGGTGTCAACTTGCCCGCGGCTGCCGTCGTTATCAAGGGAACCCAAGTGTACAGCGCACAGGAGGGTAAATTTGTCGATCTCGGTATTCTCGATGTGTTGCAAATCTTTGGTCGTGCCGGTCGTCCCCAGTTCGAGGACACTGGTATCGGTATGATTTGTACCACCCAGGACAGACTCCATCACTACTTGGCCACCGTCACGGAGCAGCAACCGATCGAATCCAAGTTTTCCACAAAGCTCGTCGACAATCTGAATGCCGAGATCTCTCTAGGCACTGTGACGTCGATCCCGGAGGCTGTTCAGTGGATTGGATACTCGTACCTCTTTGTCCGCATGCAGAGAAGTCCAATGAGCTATGGCATCGAGTGGGCTGAAATCAGAGACGATCCCACTCTCGTTCAAAGGCGTCGCACGCTGGCTATCCAGGCAGCCCGAACTCTCCAACAAAGCCAGATGATCATCTTCAATGAAGTGACCGAGGAGCTCCGCAGCAAGGATATCGGCCGCATTGCCAGCCAGTACTACATCTTGCACACGAGTATTCAGATCTTCAATACCATGATGCAACCCATGGCCACCGAGGCCGATATTCTGAAGATGATCGCCATGAGTGGAGAGTTTGACAACATTCAGTCCAGAGACTCTGAAGAAAAGGAACTGACGCGTCTGAGGAACGATGTCGTTCCTTGCGACGTTGACGGCGGCATTGACACGCCCCAGGCCAAGACCAACATTCTGCTTCAGGCATACATCTCGAGAGCGCAGCCAGAAGACTTTGCTCTTGGCAATGATCTCAACTATGTTGCTCAGCAGGCGGGCCGTATCTGCAGAGCCTTGTTCATGATTGCTCTGAATAGGAGATGGGGACATCAGTGCCTGGTTCTGCTTACCCTCGCCAAGTCCATTGAGAAACGCATCTGGCCGTTCCAGCATCCCCTACACCAGTTCGATCTCCCCAAATCGGTCTTCAATCAGCTCGATGCCAAGGACAATATGACAGTGGAGGCAATGAGAGACATGGAATCTGCCGAGATCGGTGCTCTGGTTCACAACCAGAATGCGGGTAAGAAGATTGCTCACATTTTGACCAACTTCCCGACCATCAGCGTTGAGGCGGAAATTGCCCCTCTCAACCGCGACGTTCTCCGGATCAAGTTGTTCATCGAGCCTGACTTCCGCTGGAACGACCACATTCACGGAACTTCCGAGTCGTACTACATCTGGGTCGAGAACTCTGAGACGTCCGAGATCTATCATCACGAGTTTTTCCTTCTTAACAGAAGGAAGCTCCATGATGAACACGAACTCAACTTCACCATTCCCCTTTCAGATCCTTTGCCCACTCAGATCTATGTACGCGCAGTTTCTGACCGATGGCTTGGCGCTGAGACGGTGACGCCTGTATCTTTCCAGCACCTCATTCGTCCGGACACTGAGAGCGTGTACACTGATCTCCTCAACCTGCAACCGCTACCCATCAGCGCTCTCAAGAACCCGGCTCTCGAGGAGATTTACGCCGAACGCTTTCAGTACTTCAACCCTATGCAGACTCAAATTTTCCACACCCTCTATCACACACCTGCCAACGTTCTCCTCGGATCTCCCACTGGTAGTGGAAAGACCGTCGCGGCAGAGCTGGCGATGTGGTGGGCTTTCAGGGAGCGGCCAAAGTCCAAGGTTGTGTACATTGCGCCCATGAAGGCTCTGGTTCGCGAGCGTGTCAAGGATTGGGGAGCTCGACTCGCTCGACCATTGGGATTGAAGCTGGTCGAATTGACAGGTACGTTGCTCGTGGCGAGGGGTTCTTGAATACCTACTGACCTCCTTAGGTGACAATACCCCTGATACGCGCACCATCAAGGATGCCGACGTTATCATCACCACGCCTGAGAAATGGGACGGTATCTCTCGTAGTTGGCAGACGAGAGGCTACGTTCGGCAAGTGAGTCTCGTCATTATTGACGAGATTCATCTCCTGGCTGGTGATCGTGGTCCGATTCTGGAAATCATTGTCTCTCGTAAGTGCGCAAGCGGTGAATGTAACCTAGCAAGATGCTGACCGACTCAAGGTATGAATTACATCGCGGCATCCACCAAGAACTCTGTCCGCCTCCTCGGTATGTCAACGGCGTGCGCCAACGCCACTGACCTGGGCAACTGGCTCGGTGTCAAGGAAGGCCTGTTCAACTTCCGCCACTCCGTGCGTCCGGTTCCCCTGGAGCTGTATATCGACGGTTTCCCCGAGGTCAGAGGATTCTGCCCGTTGATGCAGTCCATGAACCGCCCGACGTTCCTCGCCGTCAAGACGCACAGCCCTGACAAGCCCGTCATCGTTTTCGTGCCTTCTCGTAGACAGACGCGCCTGACGGCCAAGGACCTCATCAACTACTGCGGCATGGAAGACAACCCTCGCCGATTCCTCCATATGGATGAGGATGACCTCCAGCTCAATCTCGCCAGGGTCAAGGATGATGCTCTCAAGGAAGCCATCAGCTTTGGTATCGGACTCCACCATGCCGGTCTCGTCGAGTCTGATCGTCAGCTGGCCGAGGAACTTTTCCTGAACAACAAGATCCAGATCCTCGTCGCCACGAGTACCCTCGCGTGGGGTGTCAATTTACCGGCCCATCTCGTCGTCGTCAAGGGCACGCAATTCTACGACGCAAAGATTGAGGGTTACAAGGACATGGACCTGACAGACGTTCTCCAGATGCTGGGACGCGCCGGCCGTCCGCAGTTCGACAACTCCGGCGTGGCCCGCATCTTCACAAAGGATGCCAAGAAGGACTTTTACAAGCACTTCCTCCACACCGGCTTCCCCGTCGAGTCGTCACTCCACACGGTCCTCGACAACCATTTGTGCGCCGAAGTCTCAGCCGAGACCATCGTCACGAAGCAGGACGCCCTCGACTACCTGACCTGGACCTTCTTCTTCCGTCGCCTGCACAAGAACCCATCCTACTACGGCCTCGAGATCTCGGCCGAGGAGCACAACAGCATCGCCGCCCAGACCATGGCAAACGACTACATGGTTGAAATGATTGACAAGTCCCTCGACGAGCTCGCCCGCTCCAGCTGCGTCGAAGTCTTCCCCAACGGCGACGTCGATCCCACCCCAATGGGCAAGATCATGAGCTACTACTACCTCTCCCACATCACCATCCGCCACCTCGTCAAGCACGTCAAGCCCGGCGCTGACCTTCTCAACGTTCTCTCCTGGATGTCCCGCGCCACAGAGTACGACGAGCTCCCCGTCCGTCACAACGAGGACCTCATCAACGAAGAGCTCTCTCGCAACCTCGTCTTCCCGGGCAGCTCCTTTGGCCTCCCCATGTGGGACCCCCACGTGAAGGCCTTCCTCCTCCTCCAGGCACACATGTCTCGCATCTCCCTCCCCATCACCGACTACGTCGGCGACCAGACCAGCGTCCTCGACCAAGCCATCCGTATCATTCAAGCCTCCATCGACGTCACAACGGAACTAGGCCACCTCTCCACCTGCCTACAATTCATCACCCTCCTCCAATGCATCAAGTCCGCCCGCTGGCCCACAGACGCCCCGGCCTCCATCCTCCCCGGCGTCGGCCTCGACACCCTCAAAGCAGACAAATCCAACCTCACCCTCGCCAAAATCTCCGCCCTCGCCTCCTCCCCCTCCAAAATCACCTCCCTCGCAAAACAACTCTCCGTCCCACCGCACCAACAACCCCGCTTCGCCAAAGCCGCCTCCCAACTCCCCAACCTCGCTGTCGCCGTCCCCGCGTCGGAAACCACAGCCCTCAGCGTGACCATCGACCTCCGCCGCCTGAACCCCCTAACCGAACGCGACGCCCACGTCTACGCGCCCCGCTTCCCGAAACCCCAAAACGAAGGCTGGTTCGTCCTCCTCGCCGACCCGGCCCGCGACGACGTCCTCGCCGTCAAGCGCGCAGGCTGGTCCGGTGGACCGGGCCGCAGCGTCGCCGTCGGCTCCAAGCCTACCGCGCGCGTGACCGTCAAGGTTCCCGAGGCCGCGCAGGGCAAGAAGCTCGAGGTCATTGTTGTCAGCGACGCATACGTCGGGATGGAGTACCGCGTTGCCGTTGACGTGCCTGCGGCGCCGGTCGTGGATGACGATGTGGACAAGTCCAAGAAGGCGCAGCTTCAGCAGCGTGGTGACGGTGGTGCTTCTCGGGCTTGAAAGTAACGCACACATTCACTCATTGAAGATCATTTTCAGTTGGTGGCCTAGAACGGTGGAAACGTGCTCTTGACAATGGCAAATGAGATTTGGGCTATATTAGATGCAGCATAGATGGAGAGCGAACCGCTACCTCTGGATGCAGATGATGAAGAACCGATGCTGCTGCTACTACTGCTGCTAGACATGAGAAACCCCCATCTGAACCTCAAGAAACAATATAAACAAGAAGAGAAAACACCCAATCCCCATGCCTTTATGACAATGAAAATCCGTTCAAGAAACAACAAAACGTGAACAATGCCCTCTCGCGAGAGATGATGTCCCCCCTCCTGTCCATGTAAAAAGCAAATTTAAGGGAAAGCCCAAGGAGACGAATTAGGGGGGGCAGCAGGGTTGAAAGGGTGATTTCAACCCCCTCGTGCCCAGTGCCCATGACACACCGACATGTATCCGCAAATATGTAGACGACAAAAAATCAAGACATGCCCCTTTCCCAAATGAAGCTCCTAAACAAAAAGATTCACATCCTCCTCCTCCTCCTCCTCCCGTTCCGTGTACTGTGATCCCCCAATGACGAGCACCCTCTGATAGATGCCCCGATGACCCAAAACAAGATTCAAGAAAACGCCTTCGCACCATGCTTGCAGTTTCTTCCCAAAGATCAAAAATAAGGTCGTGTTCGTCGGTACCAGTCCGGATGATGCGTCCCACTACTGCTGCCTCCGAGTAGATATGTGACTTGGGTAATAGAGCACACAATGCTCCGAGTAAAACTATGCGCATCGTCTTCGTCGCTGTCGTTGTCGTCGTCTTTGATGTTCCTCTCAGTCGTTCCAGTCCGTTTCATACCATCCGCTCACGTCATACCCTGGCGGTGGAATAAACTGCCAGTCGTCGGTAGCAATCCAAACCCTCCACCCTCATGCAAGGGACGTAGAAAGGTCATGCTGTCGAGGCCCATGTTCCAGAGTCTCATCGCACATCTCTCGTCTCCGCATGCCATACTTCCTTCTCCGTAACCACTTCAACAGCACTTCCTCCGTGCCTTACCAGCACCCTCATCGGCATCCTGCTCCGTCCCGCCCTGCTCAACCGTGACAGCAGGCGAGAAATTCGGCGAAAACAGCCAGCTCCGCCGGTCCCGTCCGACGCGGAAGCTGCCCCTGGGATTCATGCCATCAAAGTACCCGCCGTCCATGCCCGTCTCGTACCCCGGCGTGCCAGGCGTAGCCGTAGCCAGCAGCAGCGCCTGCTGCATCTTGCGGTTTTGCTCTACAAGCTTCCTCGTCACGACGCGGAAAACCTCCTCCACACCCTCGCCGCTCTCGGCGCTGATCTCGTGGCACGCGTCCCAGCCGACCTCCTGGCCCCAGAACCCGGAACTGCGCTTCGAAGACGGGCTGCGCGGTTCGCCGCCGCTGGGTCCGCCGCCGCCGCCGCCGAATGTGCTCGTGCTCTGGTGGACCTGCGAGGAGGACTGGCGCGGGTCGGAGGAGGAGAGGAGGGAGGGCATGCCGCTGGACGTTGCTGTCGGGGGCGGTGTCGAGGCCAGGCCGGGGGCGAGGTTCTCTGCGACGTAGGCTATACAGCGCTCAAAGGGGACTTCGCGGCGGGAGGGGTCGCGGGCGACGATGTCTGCTTTCGTGCCGACGACGTGGAGGACGACGTCGCCGGGGAGGTTGCGGCGGAGCTCGGTGAGCCAGACGCCCATTTCTGTGAAGGACTGGGCGTCTGTGATGGAGTAGCAGAGGATGCAGGCGTTTGCGCCACGGTAGTAGAGGCGGGAGATGGAGCGGAAGCGTTCTTGGCCGGCTGGAGGAGGGCGAAGGTGTGTTAGTAAATGGAAAGTTTATCTTTTGCGACTGCGAGAACGAAAGTTGACAGGAAGAGTAACTTCGTTATCGCAGCTGGTGGTCAGGGTGGGTGGAGGTAGGAGGGAAAAGCATACCGGTATCCCAGATCTGTAGTCGCACCACGGTGTCGGTATCGGTATCGACGACGCGCTTGGTCATGAAGCTCGCGCCTACGGTGGAGGTTGTCTGGGCTGGGTTGAAGGAGCCTTTGCAATAGCGCATGACGAGGCTCGTCTTGCCGACATTTTGGGAGCCGAGGACGACGATCTTGGCCTCGAGAGACGACATTCTCCCTTTTCTCTCTCAGATGCGCCCCGTATGCCCCGTATGCAACGGGGAAAAAGAGAGAATGAGATTGGGCGGAGGAGAGGAGGAGTAGCGCGGAATGCGCTTTCTTGAGGAGGAGAGGTCGGATCGATCGGTAGGTGAAGAGAAGCGAATGTTTGACCGGGTTCGCCTTTGGAAAGTGGTTCGGTGCGTGATGCGACCGAGAAGCCTGAGGGGTGTATGGCTGTGGTGGTGATGGTGGTGGTGGTGGGCACCTGCAGTGAGGAGGGAACACTGGAATTCGGTGAGGGACAGCGCGGGAATGTTGGTGAGAATGGGTTTGTTGAAGAATCGTGGGGGTTCTCGGGAGGGAGTGAACCTCAAACGGGTGTGGCTTTCGTGCTAATCCTCGATTGGGGAGGACGATGTTGAATTCTTTGGAGGAAAAGGGTAAAGACGACCGTTTGATTTCGAGGGAGAGAGAATGAGTGGACTCGACGAAACGTTGGTGGTAGTGGTGGTGGTGGTGGTGGCTTCCGCTTGGTGCGCGGCTTTCTCTCTTGTCTGTTGTGATCCCGGGGGTAAGGTACGGCTACGGTACCTGTGTACACGAAGGGATAAACAACACAATGCGCTCTTTTTTCTTCTCCTTTCTCTCCCTTGCTTTCTAACAGTCTTTTTCTTTTCTAGTGTCCTTTTTTTGTCTTTCTCTGTTCGCTTAGGGTAAGTGCGCGAGTGTTAGATCGAAACGTAGTCACGCCGGCGCCAAATTTAAAACGCAGGCAGCCACGAGGTCAGTGATCGGCCGATGAGGCGCGTGGTGGTGGTGGTGGTGGTGGTGATGGTGGTGGTGGGTGCCCGCCTTTTTCGGTAAGCGGGACAAGACAGATTTGGGGTGAATTGGATGGGAGTTTGAGTGAGTGTGCATGGGACGGCCGAGTTTCTGAGGTGAGATTGAGCTGTGCCGGCAAGGACGGGAGAACCACGAGCTTTTTTTTTTTTTGTGGTTGAAAGAGAAGAAGACCGAAATATAATCCTGGTTGTTGAAACAGAGAATAGAAAATGGGCGATTCGGCTCCGAGAGGTGTTGCAACGGCTGCTAGCAACGGACGAGGATGTGGGTTGTTTGATTTCTCGGTGTTGTTTTGTTTGTTTTGTTGTTGTATTTTCTTCTTCCTTTTCGTTTACTTCGCCTACGTAACAAGGGGGGATGAGACAGTAGGAAAAGGATCACGGACGGGGGATGGGATATGATATGGATTTCTCAGCTTTATTCTGCGGGGAAGAAGAATCCTCTCATTCTCATAGTGACGGTTCAACAACGTGATTGTGATTCTACTATTGTATTTTAGGTGGTTCAAAACCGAGAGATTGGAGTTGCATCCCACCTCCATTTTCCGTTTCTTTTCGAGACCAAGGTGCGTTCCGAACGAGCGTTACCACGTATGGGATTTAGTGGTTGCCGCGGGGGAATTGAGGCTGAGGCCGTGGGGTTAGCTGTAGTATAGCCATCTCATGTTGGGATCAGAATGGTTCGTTATCAGGAGAACTGCTGATAGATGATAGATGCGAGATACTTTGTTTTAGGAAGGGATCTTGCATGGACGGGCGTTGGGGAACTTTGGGGGGGGGGGGGGGCATCTGATGTATCAGTGTATCAGGTGGTGAGCGATGATCCCAACTGCTGCTTCTTCTAGAAATGTTCCGCTCTCAGGCACTTATTGACCAAAAGCCGGCACCGGCTCCGTCTTCATATCCTACTAAAGCTAATTGTCGTGTGGCGCGAACATGGCTTGCTCCATACAATAAATAGCATGCCTCAACTTCACTCTCAAAGGATGCTCCAAGAGTCAGTCACATTGTCATCCACCTGGTTGTCCGATTTGGAGATGGTCGCGTGGTGCACTCAAAGCGGGTCCTCTCTCCAAAAAACGCACAATGTCGTCATCGGCTCAAGGTCATTGCTTCTTTCTTCCTCTTCTTTTCTTTCTTCGGAGCGAACCTCCTCCCGCCAACGGCCGCCTGAGAGTTTGGGAATCGTTGAGACGAACGAAGAGAAACGTTTTGAGCTTCAAGTATGGCATTCTCGAGGAGCATATCCGTATGCACGTGTGAAAGCCAATCGGTCCTCGGCAATCGACTTGTTCACTCAGCACTGGCCTAGCCGTTTTCCAACGGCGTGGGAATGGTGTAAGCCAAGAACGGGGGACAAACTCCCTCTCACTAAGCAGCTATTTTCGATGTAATCACGGCACAGCTTTACGGATGGATTTGGGTAGATAGTAGGTTATATAGGCAATTGTTTTAAAACATGGGAAACATGGAAGATTTCAGAAATTTGAGCTAGGTGCGGTATCACACCATGGGCCATTCTATCTATACCCTCAACGTTGTAGCCGTCAATTGATAAGGGATTACTGGTAGTTCATCATCACCTTCAGCAACATAACACAAGTGCAACCTCTCACATTACCAAACACATCACACTCGGACCCTTCGTATTAACCATTAATTTTTCTTTTTTCTTTCTGGTATCTAATTAAGTATTGTCTAATGTCTAAAATTGTTGCTTCTTTTCTTTCCTCTAATCCCGCTTTCCAAAAAAAAATTATCAGAATTCGCTACATTATTGACGTTCTCTTTTCCACCTTTCTACAAGACAACGTGCACAGTCTTCGCAATGCTAGGCGTGCCCTGCGCATTCGAGACAAAGAGGTAGTAGAACCCAGGAAGCAGGATACCATAGTCCTCGGGCAGCTTGGCAGTGAAGGCCTGACCGTCAACCTGCACGTCGTCAAGCGGGATGCGGCGCTGGTCCGTGTTCGACGAGTGCGTGACGCTACCGGTCCGGATGAGCGTGACCTTGCACCCAGCACCACCGGCCTCGACGCCCTCGACGGAGAAAGTAATCGTCGCGCCGGCCTTGACGGCCTCCTCGCTGACGCCCGAGACGACGGGACGCGCGGCCTTGGAGCCGTCGGCGTTGTACAGGTACGGCGGCTCAAAGATTTCGCCGTCGGCGTGGTCGACAGTCTTGTCGCAGCCGGCGGTCGAGCCCAGGATCTGCTTGACGTAGCACAGGCCGCCGCCGCCCGTGAAGACGGTGGCGTCGGGCATGAGGATCGAGACGGAGTGGTAGTTACGCGGGACGGCCATGGGCGCCATCTGCTTCCACTCCTTGGTCTCCGGGTTGAAGAGCTCGGCAATGAGGATGCCGTCCGTGTTGGTGAAGACGAGGGACTTGCGCTGGCCGCCCGTGACGAGGACCTGGCCGTCGGGGAGGACCACGGCGTTGGCGAAGCCGCGGGGGAAGGCCATGTCCGCCACGCGCTCGACCTCGGACGGGGTGCCCGGCTCACCGATGGTGGTGATGTGGGCGTGCACGGTGGCGTCGCTGTCGGTGTAGTCGGGGCTTCCGCCGGCCGAGAGGATCTTGCCGGCGACGGCGTCGTACATGACCCAGGTGCCGCACATGGCGTCGTCGTCGTCGCGGGTGGCGGCCTTGGTGACGGAGCCGGTGCCCTCGATGCCGAACCAGTGCTGGTCCTTGCCCGGGCCGGCCTGGAAGATGCTGTTGTTCTTCCAGCCAAAGAGCCAGGCGTGGTTGTCCTCGCGCCAGATGCCCTCGTGGTCGTTGGTCAGGATCGGGGTGACGTCGGCGTCGGGGAGGTAGGTCCACTCGTTGGCCTCGGGGTCGTACACCTCGCCGTTCTTGCCCTCGCGCTTGCCAGAGTAGGCTCCGCCAATGGTGAAGATCTTGCCACTGGAGAGGAGGGTAGAGGTCTGGTAGCCGCGGGCGACCTTCAGGTCGGGGCCGCGGGTGAAGTTGTTGGTTGCCGGGTCGTAGATGCTGACGGCGTCGGCGTCGGAGCCGCCCTGGATGACGATGCGGCCGTCCTGGAGCTGGCTGATGGCGGGGCAGAACATGTCGTGGTGGGTGTTGGCGACGGCGCGCTCAGAGATCTGGCCGGTAGCGAAGTTGTAGTCACCATACTGGGTCAAGCCGGAAGCACCGCCAAAGGCGTCGACTCCCCACGAGGAGAAGAACAGCAGTCTGCTGGGCTCGGGGTAGGACGGGACGATATAAGCCGCAACGGGAATCACGGGCAGACGGATGAGGTCACCCCACTTGCCCTGGACGGCCGGGTTGATGTTCTCGGGGACGTGCATGGTGTCGAACTGCTTGTTCTGGACCCAGAAGAGAGACGTCTCGGGCTCGGCAGCCTTGATATGGCAGACGTTGTTGATGTTGTCAAAGACGGCCTTCTTGCAGTTCTGGGTGTTTGAGCAGAGCTCGGCGCAGGCTTGGATGGTCGTCACATCCTGAACAATCTTGGCGCTGTTGCCGGTGTAATCGGTGCCACGGCAGACCTGGTAGTCGACGCTGCCCTTGGGAACTCGGTAGCCCTCCACCTTGAAGGGGCAGGTAGCGAGGAATGTGCCGTCGGCGAAGTCGTTTGTCATGCGGATGGCGTCGAAGCGGTCGTCGGCTGCCCAGTTCATCTCGTTCTTGGTGTCCTTGACGTGGCAAACCTTGAGCTGCTTGTCGTAGACGGCTCTGTTACAGCGAGCATCCTTGTCACAGATCTGAACACACTCGACAGTGGTCTGGACATTTTGGACGTATTGAAGACTGCCACCGCCAAACTGGTAGTCAGAGCCAGGGCAGACGGTGTACTTGACTCCAATGGGCGAATCCCACTCGGCCTCATCGTTCGGGCAGGCCGTGATGGCCGCGGAGGAGAGCCGTGAGAAGAGAGAGGCGGCCGCGATGGCCTTGTATGCGGTTGAACGAACCATGTTGATGTGTTGGTGTTTTTGGAGCTGAACTGCTCGTGTACTAGAGAATGTGGTTCCTCAATGAGATCGAGGCTGTGTATATGTTGGTGTGTTTATGAGTGAGTGTAGTTACTAGACACGTATAAGCAATGAGAGACGTGTGTCTATAATTAAGGATAACACAAAGAGTAAGGAAAGGCACGAGAGGCTACTCGTGAGGGATTGTCGATGAGAGCGGCGTTAAAGAAGAGAGAGATCTCAAAAGGGCAGATAAAGGGAAGAAACTCGACGATATGTATATACACAACTGCCTCGCCGGGCACATCGTGCATCACAGCTCCATCTGCGGCACTTCCGCAGAGGAGAGGACGCTCCAAGAGAGATCCATCTTCGAAATTGTGGAAACTCTGGAGCCCCCAAGCTAGGCTGCGCCATCCCGCAAGTGCATTTATGGCCCGATAGAGTCTGCCGGGGAGTTGGTCCTTCATCGACGCCGAGTCGGCGCTGGCGAATGGCAAGGCTTCCCGAGCCGCGATCCCCATCAAGAAAGAAGATAAGGTGGGAACCTTGCCCAGATGCTAAAGCCAGGCGCTGGCTTTGGGGCCGGGGGGAGGTCCAAGCAGGAAAAGCCCGTGATGTGGGAAAGGCAGGCAGAAGAAATCGTGTGGAAATTCTGAGAAGCCGCCCGGCCATCCATGAAGCTCGTCGTGTTGTTCTGGTTCATTCTCCTTTCATGAGGCCCGTGGCCGCCCGAAACAACAATACGGCTGGCGGTCAGGCACGCCGCACTACGACGACGACGGCGGTCAACCTGAACCCTCGAGCCTCGAACCTTTCCCCCCTTTTGACGTGCCCTTGCGCGGACCCGCAGAGAGCCCCATTGCTGTGGTGGCTGGGATCTCCCTCGGGCTCTCGCCGTGGATCGCATGAGTGATCGTCGAACACTGCCTCGAGCTTTGAGGGTTTGGAGTCTTGACAGAAAAAAATTCGTCTGATCATTCATGCTTGCCAAAGCCTTTCCCGTGTTTCCCACGACACGAGAAAGCTGTCAAATAAGGTTACCCGTCGTCTGATGTGGCGAACACACACATAACACGCACTTTGACTTTAGCCGTCTTGACGTAAACAACTGTGCAACTTGTCAGCATCATCCCGTCAGTGTCGTTCGTGTTGACGTTGGCAAAGTCGGGTCGCCCTGCCATGACCCTTGCAGGCAAGAGAGGACCTCGTCCACGGCCAAGACCAGTGAGTAGATGAACGGAGAAGACCGAGCATTTCAGCGACGACAGCTGGGTCGGGTAGACGCCGACCAGTCAGCATGGTCATGTTCGTCGTTGCTGGTCGCACGTATCCGTCCGCCTTGAAACGCACGTAGTTACTGCCCAGGTTCATCAGGGACAACAATTTTTTTAAAAAAAAAATTGTATTTGGGTTTTGGTGCTGTGTTTCCTCGTATGGATAACGCCACATATTTCCCGAAGGCCCAGATGGTGAGAGTTCGCGTCTTCGTATAAGAGTAGCGTGTTGGACGATCAGCGTGTGACGAAATAAAAGAGGGCACGGGATCGACTCTCTAGAGCGTATGGGAACTCGATAGCGATCCAGATACGATGCCTGTGTGCCTGAGGAGTACCTGGGAAAGGGTTACTGCAACTTTGCAAGACCGGCACAGCCCTACGAAAGCTAGCCGCCGGTAATTTGCGTCGAAACATGGTTGGACGCTGCTTTATCTCTGGAGACGCACAAGAGTCTGCACAAAAATAGAAAGCCGTTCATCCGGTGTGGGAGGCACCCGCCAGGTTTGACCAGGTTGGAGAATAAGACGATAGGGAAGAAAAGAAAACTCCCCCGGAAGTTCTGGCCGGATTCTGAAAGGAGGAATACAGTGTGTGGATCCCGCCCAACTTGGCACTTCCACCCCTGCCTTTTTAGTATGTCGCTAAACCCTCCTGGGACGACGGCCAAGAGATCGTGGAGTCCCCCGGCTCCCCTTTATCGCAAACCGTAATTTCTTTTTTGATTGCATTAGAGTCTCTATGACTCGTATTCTTTACTTCTGCAAGCGCTGAATCGCTCCAACTTTTCAAGTATACTTTGTATACGTCGTCTCCTTTTCTTGGCCAAATATATCCCGTAGCCTCGCCATCTCAGGACAATGCAAAACGGATAGGACGGATGAACGTGCACATAAACATCGTATCCGCCCCATCTCCAGTGCAAATCTCCAATGCACAATGCGTCGTCACTCGTCGTTGTTCGGACTTTGACGTCATACCCGGCGGCGGGTAGTCGGACGGGCCGACCGCGTTGAGGTGGGAGCCGGACATGATGGACGCCGATCGCCGCGAGGAATGGAGGCTCTGCCGTCTTCTCGTATGACTTACAACTCATCCCATCGCTTCCACCGCATTATATTTCCAGGGTGATCGTACATCAACATCGTTGTTATGCCATCGGGATATTGATGGCTTATACCTCTGCCAAAGAGGACTGGAGCTCGACCCAGATTAACAAAGTTAAGCACTAATGGAACTATCATGAGGATTTCTCTCTTGAAACCTCGTGTTCACTAGCTTGCAGGCGCTATGGACGCTCCGGACCCAAACTCCGGAATATCAAGCCACGAACAACGGAATGAGGCCGCGTGGGGGAGTCCCAAGCTCACTTTCCACGGTCATTGCGACTGTAGATACCGCTGATAGACTCGAATACCCTAACCACGCGGGTCAAAATCACGGGAGTGCCTTGTCTTGAGGCCATTGCCTCTTCCGGACCGGCAGTCTCCTCTAGTAATCCCGATAGAGCAATATGGCAATTGCAAGATTCCGTTCAGTGTACCAAAACAGCGAATTCTGTTCTAGCTGCAGGATGATCCGCCCAAATTCAGAAATGACTTGGACGCGGGGTTAATTTCCGACGCAGAAATGCCCCGAAACTTTATTGAACACGATCCTTGGAGTATGCTGCCCAACACATCTGGATACGAGTTGGAAGTGACCTTCCAGGTGTCTCATCATGTCTGCCTGCTCGTGTTGACGGAAAAAAAAAACAGATTCACCGATTCGTAGGCTCGCCGGAGAAGCTTTGATAATGTTTCACCCGCCAGAGCAGTTCAGCAGAATTACTTTTCGAAAGCAGTTGATACTCGTCACGGTACCCTGCAGGTTAGAATAAGTGTTCACTGGCATTAAATCACGGATCGCTCGGGTATTTGCCCTCGCTCAGCAAGCTCTATACCTGATCATCTCTTTCACTGTCACGAAGCCGGAATTGGCTTTCCTGGCCCTCTCAGAAAATACCCTATACATAAATGTCCCCCCTGTGGACGACGTTCCAGGTTTTGCTTAGCAGGCTATTCGAGACAAGTTAGGAGGATGGCCTTGGGCTCTGACACCGTCGCAATGAGCTTGTCGAGTTTCCTGACTTGCGACGTCCTGCATCTGCATGACGGCAGTAGATTACTTTGTCAAGTAGTTCACGTTGACCAGTATGTATCTGGATCTGTCCGCTGCCGTGGGGGTGATCTCTTCCATGAAGTCATACTCCAGGGTTTGATGACAGAAATCTTAGGAGGAAATATTCCTAGTCTTGGGTCTACAGGCGGCATATACCATACATGACTTTATGCAGAGGTCTACGTCTTGCGTGCTCTTCGGCCAGAATACGCGTCCGCGGAGACGGTGAGTCGTGTGCAATAACCAAGATTGCTTCCACCATTCATTTTCATCTCCAAGCACCGACAGTGAAAGACTCAATTCTTCCCAGCCTAGATTCTTCCGCAGTAACATATTGATCACAGAATATACTAGAGATATGGAGTCGAAAGGAAGAGTGGCCTTGTTATTTGAAAGCTGCCCCGTCGTGATAGCATTGTTCTTCTCACAGCGTCGTTGACTAATCTGCGAAAGCTCCAACGCGAAAAAAAAGAAAAAAAAAAGTTGAGAGAGCATAAGAAGATGCGAGATGAAAACTTGGCTCACCACCTGAATGATGCAAGGAGATAGCCGACGATGAGTAACAAGCCGATGAACTTAAGTAGAGCGACTACAGACACCCGAACTACTCAAGTCCTATATGCGATAGGGAAACTATGTGCTGACTTGGTCCTCTTAGGCTGGGAAGAAAGCCAAGAAGTATCCGCTGTCCTACCAGCGGTCTGTTGCTCCTGCATGGCGGTAGTGCATTTAGGAGTTAAAATGCTGCTAGAGTAAGAGTCTTCGATCCCGTCTTATCAACTAAGCCACTGGGAAATACTACGGGAGCAGTTGGTCTTCATCGTCAAGTGCTGGGATTGGTTTGGGTATTTCGCTGATTCCAAATATGCTATCGGTTGAAAACCTTCCTCATACCATGCCAACTCGCCTGTGCAGAGAGAATCAATCTGCGGCTAACAGTGAAAAGGCGGAGGTTATACTTGGAACGAGGCAGGTTGAAGTCTCGAGTACCTATGTGAGAGCCAGAGAGTCCGCGGGGCCTGTCAAGAGAACAAGAGAAGTCCCGAATTGGTGGCAGGCGAGGATGCCCTAATCTAGAGAGTATAAAACCCGTCACACCAGCGCCCATCACTTCACACAAGGCAAGGCATGCATGCGGAAAACGTCGTATTACATCGGAGCGGAGTTGGTCGACGCAGAATGGTTACATCCTTCGTATCTGTCGAGCGTCCGTCGACCTCATTCGTAAGCAATGCTACAAGAATCCCGTTGCCTCTTCTTCCCAACTCATAGCAGGCACTCTTTCACAACTGTTTTCAGTAGAAGCATATTATCCATGGAATACACCATGGATGCCGGATTCTGCACACGGTGAGACCACTTCATTTGAAGTTGAATTCTGAGTACGAAGTGTGGTCTCCAATCCCTTCTTTCAAGCTGGTCGAGAGGCCAACCCAGAGACGACAGGAGATTAACGGCCGCGAAACCAAGCGGGCCCGGCAGCCTGGTCGGCGAAACTCTCACTGAGCGCAAATCCGACCCGTTTTATAGTGACGCGGTGCTCTATGATAGCGGTAATCCCGAATGGTGTTCTGCGTTCTACACAATGGAACTATTGCCGAAGAGTACACCTCAAGTTGACATTTTGTGCTCAGTTGGTTCTCGAAATGTTCCCGGCGCACGAACACGCTCACTTGAAGATGGAGCAGATAGGACAGATTCTCATGTTGAGGGGGCTACTTCTAGTGCCCTATCAAAACAATTATTCTAAACTATTATGAACGCTGGCTCGCCATACGTCAAGGATGCAGGTTGAGAGAGTAGTCCAGTACCAGTTTCAAACTACATGTCTACCTAAGAAGACCACCTAATTATGTGGATGAAACTATGTTTCGGGTATGTGAGAGAGGGTTTTCATTAGATCAAGCTAGCTATTGATGTTTAATTCCTTATGCTTTACGAAGAGGCGGCGCCGAGGACAGTGAGCCAAAGCATCTCGTGCAACTCCGCCGTAGAGCAAGTCGGGGGAAGAAAAGCTCATAGTCTGTCTTGTCTTAGTTGCTTGGTGGCGTTATAGTAGCGAGTAGACTTTTGACTTGAACCTGCGGATGGTACTTATCGTCCTGCTGAAGATTTGGGTACGGATCGGCGTTCGGGGCGAATTCGATGTTCACATTGGGCCCAAAGATCAAGCAGTGCGTCGAACCACCAAAGCGAAAGCATCCGATCGGCTCGCCCTTGGTGAAAGTGTTTTCGGTCTTCTCGAAGAAGTCGACTGACGAGACCTCAGCCATGCCGACCATGCCGATCATGACAATCGCCATGACTCCAATGGCTGGGTTGTCAGCCTGGATCAGAGCCACGCCGCGCTTGGCGACCGCAGAAATACAGCCCTGCGAGAGCTCGTCCGAGGCCTCGTCAGGATCGGACTTGCCCTGGTCGTTATCGAAGCTCCACATGATGGGCACCGAGTAGTACGTGCCGTTGATGATTGCGGGAGGTTGAAAGTACTTGCCAGAGACGGGGGCATGCCAGTTGTGGTAGCTGTCCGCGCCGAGAAACCCTTGGTAGACGGTTGCCGCCGACGAACCGCTTGGCAATCTTGACATCGCCCAGCATGTCGGCAAGACTGTAGTTGGAGCGTTGGTCTTGGTTCTTGACCCAGAATGTGTCCTGGAGGTGGATCTTGCGTTGAATCTCGAAAGGGGTTGACTCGGTTGCGCTGATGATGGCATTATGGTCATCGGGTGAGGCGATGGGTCAAAGGCCGGGAAGGAACTGGCGTGTGAAGCATGAAAACGAGAGCAGCTAGGCTTCAGTACCCATCACCCTCCACTACTTCTCACTACATCTTCAGCCGTATGGTCCAGCTTACGAGCAAATTTGCTGTCTCATGAGAATGTTTGACCGGAGTTGGTTCACATACCGCAGGAATAACGTCCTCCTCCAAGAATGGAGTCTTATTTTCTCAGCCACAACTCACTAGCAAGGCAGCTGAGATGCCACATTCCGCATTCAACTGCCTCTCGCAACAGAAAGAGACCCGCAGCGGCCCGCGCTTAAAGTCAAGCTTAGAGAGTTCAAGACATGTGTCAGCTGGTCGAACGACTCGACTTCGCGAAATCAGACCAAGTCAAAATCTAGAACACGCTCTCTCTTCGGCCGGATCCCCATATCTCGGGGAATTCAGCCACACACACATAGTGTGCATGCTCGTGTGACTAAGACATGTTTAGGAGTGGTACCGAGCTTCCGGAAACAAGCAGTAATATGTGTGGCCATATCGCTCGTCTCATTTTGCTAGCCTCTGCGTGGTCGAAGCATGAGGCAGAAAACGTTCGACAGATAAACGTTGACCCAAAGGCGGAATCTCAAGAGCGGCTCCTCCGACCATTTGCCATCCATGCAGGGCGTCTCGTCACTGGTATTCGGCATGATTCAGGTATTGGTTCGTAGATAGTATCTTGTATATAGGTAGTATATATATCATACATCTGATGCAAAGATCAGGTCTCATGACAAGTCTCAATCGCTCTTAAAAACAAAACACCTTGCCCTCCCACACTCGCTAACACTACGGATGCACCTGTTTCGAAAGGGGCATTTCTACAACTTGGACTTGGGTCTCTGAACCGGCGTCGCCAAGGGGTCGTACACGGCACCCATAAGGTTATCAGACGGCGTAGAGCCGTGGTTGAACAGACTTCGGGTATCAATAAGCGACGGGTTGAGCTGGTCGATGCTCGTGCACCCAATGAGACGCATGTTCATCTCCATCTCGTCCCGGAGCAGCTGCATAGCGCGATCGACACCGTCGAAGCCGTAGCCGGCCATGGCGTACAGGAAAGGCCTGCCGATACCGACACCCTTGGCACCGAGGCACAGCGCCTTGATGATGTCCGTTGCGCGACGGACACCGCCGTCAATGTAAATCTCAATAGCGTTCTCCAAGCCCATGCGGCGCAGCACCGGCATCGTCTCGGCGAGGACCTCGATTCCGGACCGGGCAAAGTCGAGCTGGCGACCACCGTGGTTGGAGAGAACCACACCCTGAACGCCAGCCTCAATGGCCTTGATGACATCCTCGACACGCTGCACACCCTTCAGGATGATGGGCATGTTGGTAATGGACTTGAACCAGGGGATATCCTTCCACGACAGGGCAGGGTCGATAAAGGACGAAATGGCGCGCGCGGCACCCTGGCTCTGGTCCGTCGCTTGGCCCGACTGCACGTTGGCGCCCGGATCGGTGAACTTGGACCGCATATCCTTCTCGCGACGGCCCAGCTGCGGCGCGTCAACGGTGATGAAGAGGCCCTTGCAGCCGCGCGCCTCGGCGTGCTGCACAATCTTCTTCGTGATGGCGCGGTCCTTGTTGACGTAGAGCTGCATCCACTGCACCTGGTCGCCCTCGGCGGCGTCCATGAGCTCGTCAAAGGAGCACGAGGCCAGTGTCGGGATCATCTGGATGACGTTGTGCTTGCGGGAGGCGCGGGTGAGGAGGACCTCGCCTTCGGGGTGGCCCAGCTTGCCGAGCGCGGTGGCGGTGACGTAGAAGGGCATGTCGACCTTTGCGCCGAGCATGGTGGTGGTGAAGTCTACCTTTTCGACGTCGACGAGGATCTGAGGCCTGAACCAGATTCTGTGGAAGGCTCCGTGGTTCTCGCGCAATGTCTACAGCAAATCGAATTAGAGATCGTGTCTGGTCCTCTGTCGGGTGCAAATGGACGGGGCAACCTACAATTTCGTCGTCGGCTGCACTCGAGTAGTATCCCCAAGCCGTCTTCTTCATGACTCTGCGCGCAACGGCCTCAAAGTCCATCAGGTTGTAGCATTGAGACAGCAGCGGCTTCTGCTCGACCCTCTCCAAGCGCTCAACCTCTTCGGGGTCCTCCTCCTTCTCTTCAGCCACTACAGAGGTCATATCGACGGGGCCAAGGTGCTTGGACTGCTCGAGGTACTTGTCGAGAGTGTCGGGCGGGTGGATGGGGTCGAACTCTTCCGTCGCATCTTTGCCGGCATACTTGAGTATGATTTTTGACCCACCGGGGTGCTCTGAGGGACATCGTTAGCAAAGACAGCAGTTGGGGGCCGTCGAAGAGTAACTCACCAGGCAAGAAGTCCGTCACATCGTAGGCTTTGCCCTGTTAGGTTGCCATTGTCAATTGCCTGCCAATTGACAGTAAATCAACACCTAATCACAACTTACGTGAACAATGACCCAGCAAGAGTCGGCACTGTTGTGCTTTGCGATATCGTCACCCTTCAAACCCATTTTGCCTGCTGTTTGCTGCGATTGTCGTGGTTCCGGACGAAGGGACGAAAGTGAATTTGGAGATTATCGACAGGTTGGAAAATCCGGGGTAAAGGCCGATAAAATAGGTAGATCTTTCTCCACGGGGTAGCGTTTGATTTATGGGTGGCTTGGTTGCTGGTCTAGTCGAATCCAAGGTATTTCAAATCAGAGGGGACCGGGAATAGCACGTCCTACAAACACCAATGACGGTCAGAAGAAAAATGGAAGAGAAGCCGAAGCAGATCTAGGGGCCGGAACCAAGAAGAGAAAAAGATGTATGTGTCGTCTCGCTAGTCAGTCCGAGAATCGGGACTCCAAAAAAGTTCTTCTAGGTGGGAAATGTTGGGGGAGGTATCTTCTTGAAGGGGGGGGGATTCAACTTGGAGAAAAGAGGTGGTTGCCGGGGGGCGAAACCCATCAAAGGTCATCAGCTCGCTCTTCATTGTACCGTCGCAGACTGCCGCGCCCCACAGTGGCTCCCGCGCTGCGCTAGCGGCCCATCTCGGGTCAATGGGGTGCGGGGTAATCTGTCGGTGACGTCCTCCACACTTGCACTTCCTCGGTGTAAACTGCTACCGGTCTCCATCCCGGGCTATCCCCGAAAGGCAGTCCGTGCCCACCCACCCGTTCGTTGACTGCAACAACAACGCCAACCGCAATCTGCCCATAAAGTGTGTCCGTTCCTCGCCGTCCCTTTCGGCTTGGAACCCGTTGCTGATACGGATACTCGCGGCTACGGTCCCGAAGGGGGGCGCGGGATGGCCCTTCTTTATCTCAACTACACACGTGCATTTACGCCACTCGAGCCGTCAACGTCAATTAAGTTTCAATCTAATCGTTCCTTTCGACCGGTACCGTGAAGTCTATCCTGATGGGTTTCTATCGTCACCGTTTCGCGTGCGTTGGAAGTCACCACGCAACCTGCTTGCCAAAGTCTAGCTCTAGGGGCAGACAAACCCTCATACGCCGTATTCTCGTCCTTGTCAGCCTCATGATGATCCACGTCCATGCATGCACTATTGAATCAACCGCATTTAGAGCGACGCGGCAAGCGCTCAACAAGGTCAATGTTGGTATATACATCAGCAGAAGCAACCGTACGGTTGAGACGAAGGTCAAAAATCGATTGTATTGCTGCGTGAGGTTGAAGGAGGAGGAATCGGGCGAAGCCCACGATTCCTCGAAGCCCACGATTCCTCCAGAGGTGGTAGGTATGTAAATGGAAGGGCCGTTTGTACGGGCCCATACCGCCTTCCGAGTCCTCCTTTTCTGCAGACTGCCCGTAATCCAACAGTAAAGAACATCCTCAGTCGCAAACTGTCACGAGTCATGGCACGCAGCAATGGGCAAAATAGAATCGAGCAAGGAAAGGTGCTATATAGGAACAAATGAGAGAATCGCGTGACAACGCACGTGATAGGCTGATTACAGAGTGCTGATGCTATTCCTATTTCGTGACAGACTCCGTGAGTGAGTCTCAGACCAGTTCTGGGCCAAAGAAATCTCTGTACCGCAGATTCCAAGACTCTAAGAGAGGGGAGATCTCGGATGCCGATGTCCTCAAGTACACGGGCATGAGCAAAGATACTCTGACCGGGTGGGCGGCCGATCGTCCTGGAGTGGGTGGAAATAGGGCAGCGGGAAGCATCACGGCTGGTAACGCGTCGGGCCTGGGTGGTATGATGGCTGGGTCCGGTTATGGCGGTTGGGGTACGGACGCAAATGGCACCCCGAAGTTCCCACCTACAACCAAGTCCGAGAATCAAGAGTCCAACGATGCGGCGGCTGAGGCTGTGGCTAAGAAATGAACATACCGATATGATTTTACAGATGTGGAGACGCGCAATCAACTTGTACTTCCTTCCCTCTTGCATAGGTGCTTAAGAACAAACGCGTTGGTCGCGTTACGGGCCCTCTTAGCTTGCGCATGTCTGATTTCTCTCCTGATCGTTGGACAGCAGCCACAAGTCTTGAAGTCTCTACCTCAGCACTGCGTCTAGCGATCGGAGAACAGGGGTCACCTCGGTCGCTTCCGAAAGGAGTATGTGGAGTGACTACCCTAACTTTCGGGAACCAGACCAGCGGGTACCAATCAATGACCTTGACGGCAGGAGAGACTTCTGTTGTCAGAGTACCCCCTAGCAACCGCTTTGCCCTCCAGGTGCATTGAGTCAACCAATCAAGCCAGACTTACGCCCAGAAATGTCTTCCGACGTCGCGCCATGGCCCGGTTGAGCTGGGCCAGCCACAAACTGTGTCGTCGCCCGACGCCATCCGTGCTGTTGCTGCCCATCCAGACACCACTATCCAGTCGCGACTCAGCGTTCGCTTGCCCCACAGCGCCGACCTGGGCTCGCCGGCCGTAGAGTCTCAGGAAGAGAAGGCGGGCTACTGCTGTAATCTAGGAGCCGACAGAGATTTACGTTAAGTATAGCGCAAATGAACTGAATTGGAAAGGCTGATAGGAAAGCCGCCTAAAGTCACATGTAACACGTCGCTCGTCTTGATACATACGCATACATTACCCCACCCATTAGCCACATATGCTGCTCCTAACCTCCTATATTTTCATTCAAGAATACAACCACGCAACACTGAAAGCCCAAGAGACGGCAAGTTCTTTTTTTTCTTTTCCCCGTAGATGTGGTACTATACTGCTCAATATGACGCCACTTACTCGCCGTCCCTGCGATAATGAAAACCGACATCCGACAATGTTCGGACCACGTCGGCGGTACCCTGGCGAGACACGCGCGAGTTCCAACGGAGAGTAAAGACGATCTAAGATAAGGTACCGAAAGGATTTTCCGAGCCGTGGTCCAAATGTATGGATGTACGCCCGAAGTGAATACCGCCTGCGGACAAAGGAGCCCTAGGTGCCTAGCTACGGGAATGGCTAACCTCAAAGAACTAGACTACCGTACAGGCCTCTTAGAAACCGCTGGAGGCCCATTCATAGCGTTGATAAATAAATAAAGAAGGTGAGGGGAGCAGCGAAATCGCGTAAGTGAATGACGGCCGAAAAATGAGCTGCCTGCGACTTGATATAGGGCCACCAAACTCCAACTCGCAATCTTCTACCGGCTTTCAACCAATGTCAATCAACCTCTGCTGGACGTATAGACGAGGTGCTGATTCATCGCTTCTACCATCCACCCATCATGAGCCACCTTACCTCACTTGTAGGTAGGCAGGCACCTTCCCCCCCAAACACACAACAATCCCATATATACCCCCTCACCTCCATTCCAGTCACCAGCCAGCAGGCCCCCCCACCCCCCCCCCAAAGGGGAGGTCAGGTCAAAACTGGCTGGTTGGTGGAGTGGTTCAAGTCCACAAGCCTACTTGGTGAAGGTTTTGAAGAGGTCCCGTGTTCGAGTCCCAGCATGTGCACCCAGAGATGTAGCCCCCATTCGCCACTGGGGGGGAGGGAATAGGGAAGGGGGAAGGGGGATGAACTCTTTTGCTTTTTTGGCCTTTCTGATAATTCTAATGAGTGTTTATACCCAGCCAGGCAGGGGTGGGAGGGTATATATGTATGCACCATTCTAGGAGCTCGAGGCGATGGGAGCATATACTGTCTCGACGTCCGTCACATCAATGAGTGGGTGATTCTTTATGCAATTGTGGTCATTTGGTCTATTTAGAAGCCGCTCACTTCTCACTCGGCTTTCCCCTTTTCAACATGTCTTGCCAGTCTGTTGTATCTACTTGCAAGCTTCAACACACCTAAGGCCTATTCAACCCATTGATTTTGCGGTGCCATCCTGCCTGGAACCAACACCCACTTGCTCGCATTAGATGTTAAGCAGCTACCAAAGTCTCAGTTGCGTGCTTCGCTCGAAAGCTACTACCCCTTGAAGTGCTGTCTATGTGCCCAGCTTTCGATCCATCATATTCTAACCAGTCCAGCCACTCTTATTTCCAGTTGTTCAAACCCGCCCAAGGATCGCCCCCCTGTTGAGGTTGAGCTGACCGTGGGTGCGCACTTGATGGGTAAGCACTCTGGGGGTTTTGATGTGGATAGCCTTGTTGCTGTTGCTGCTGTTGTTGATAATCCTGTTGACCGTAGAAAGTCTGCTGAGGGCCCAGTGGCGGAGGACCAGGAGGTGGAGGCGGCGGAACGAACCCGGCAGGCATTTGCTGCTGTTGTTGCTGTGGGTTAGGGAAACTGCCGTACTGCTGGTTCTGATTGAATGAGGTCTGCGTTGGCGGGGGCGAAGCTGGGCCTCGCAAGACAGTTGGACCGAACGTGGACTGGTGGGGAGGCGGTGATGTAGGGCCGGGAGTGCGGCCGTACTGACTCGGATTGTATGCTGGCTGGCCGTATGTGTTCCCCGGCTGAGGCGTGTAAGACTGCGAGGTAGGAGGGGCGGCGAAGCTCGGATACTGCTGCTGGTTTGGAGGCGGGGACTGAGGAACTTGGTACTGACCCGAAAAGTTGGTCTGGGGGTATCGTGGGGTCGAGTTGTTGGCGAAATTCAAGGGCGACGGCGTTGGCCGGTTCGAGGCAGGCTTGGGCGACGGTGCAGGAGGCTCCATGGACATGCGCTCCATCAAGCCCCTCAGACGCTCCCGCTCCAGCTCAGCATGTGCGTCTTTGCGGGTTGACCGTTCCTGCTCAATGCTGTTGAGAAGCTGGGCTCCCTCCGACCGCCTGTTGTTGACAAACGTATCGACGTTCTTCTCAAGGCTTTGAACGGTCTCCTTCATCTCAGCATACCAAGTCTTGGCACCTTGAAGACCAGCCTCCAGGTCGAGGAACTCCTGATATGCCCGTTTGTATTTGTTCATGACAGATGTTCTTTGGCGTTGTACTGTCTCATACTTGCTCTGCTCCGATCGGACTCGCTTGTCCTGCAGCAGCGTGTTGAAGCTGGTCGTCAAGTCCTTCATGAGGGCCGACTGCTTGTGATTGGCCTGCAACAACCTGTTCTGATACGGGCGGAACTTTTCCAACTCTGACTGGAAAAGCTGGTTCTCGTAGTTGGTTATCGACTTTTTGTTGAGAATCAAAATTTCCGAGATATCGTCGTTGTGAACCTGTGGATATTAGTGCAATGTTCAGTTTTCTGCAAGGACTCCCAAAGGACGAACCTTTTCCTTGAGGTCTTTCAACACTTGGTTGCGTTCCCTCTTGATCAGGTTCAGCTTCTTCATGATCTCTTCCACTTTGTGGATTTGATCAACGACACTCGGCCCCCCTTCGTCAAAGTCGACATCTAGCAGGTTTGGTTCGTTGCCCAAAGGACTCGTAACATTGCTCGATTTCCCGCGCACCTTGCTGACGGCATGTTGAAACAGGGATTCGATACTTCCGTGGGTGGCTGCCGCCCTCATCTCCTCGAATTCGCCTTCATTCTGCCTTAATTTTGCTGCCAGTTGGTTGTCGCTTCTCGCTGCCTCTTCCAACGCTTCTCGGTAGTTCCTGATATCGCTTCGCAGGGTCGATGTCAATCTCGAACTTGGTTGCTGGGTCCATTCGTTCTCGTATTTGGAACGCATCTTTTCGCACACACTTTCTTCCATATCCAGTTGTTTCGTGTTCTTATCCAGAGTGTTCACAATGATATCCTTGTCGGATCTCAAGATATCGAAAATGGCGGCGGGATCTTCATGCCCCGCAACGTCTTCGCACCAGGTCCTGAACTCTTCGTCCGGCATGATTTCTTGATCGAAACCACCCTTGAGAACCTGCAGAGCGCCGGGGAGCCTCAGGTAATCCAGACTTGCTGCCATTTCACTGTTCGCCGTGTCTACTCGTTCCGTCTCAGCTCTGATCAACTTGGCCTTCTCCTCGTCGTAGAGACTGGCCGATTCCGTCACAGCCAGGGGCACAATCTTGGAGAAAAGGTCCGGCCCCGTAATGCGCTGAATATCTTGGCCGGCGTAGAGCTCGCTAACAGGAATTGGTTTCGACGCAGGGAGCTTCGGGACGGGTGGAAGGCTGGCCTCCGCGGGAACGGTTTGGTGATAGATGAAATCGTTATCCTTGCTGAATTCCTTGAGCTTGTCCTGGACAGTCGACAGATGCCGTTTACTAAACTCGACTAAAAGCCCACCGGTCTCGGCGCCGAGATTCGAGCTCGGGGGTACTGAGTTGGGGAAATTGGTGGCGATGCGGTTTGCCTCCTTGCCCTGGGTCTCTGCAGCTTGGAGTCTAGCGACAGCAGTTCCATGTTGACCAGCTTCGTCGTCGGCGAGGGCCTGGTAGTATTGCGACATGGAGCTCAGGAGGTTGAATTTTACCTACGTCTGTTAGCAAAAGCCACAGCATTTGGTTGCAAACCACCCCTGATAGAAGTGGCGGAGGACACTGTGCTAGCAATTCTTACCTGAACCATGAGAAGCCAGACTTTCTCGAATATGGCTCTATTGAAGTTGTCCTGGACACCTTCAACAGCTTGGCCGTACAAGTACGCCGCCTGGCTGGAGAGCTTGGCCAGCAAGGCCACCTTCTTTTGATCCGCCACTTGTTTCTCTAGGAAAACCTCTTGAGCCTGTGCCAACATGATTGAGATGAGGGTTTTGACGGTTTCGCGGCTAAGGTCGGACGAAGGTGCGTGGAGGAAGTTCTCGTTGATGTAAGTGAACATGCCGGCGGAGGCCTGGAAGGAGTGGTACGCGGCCTTGAGACCTGACTCTTCGGATCTCGTTTGGTGGGCGGCGTGGCATGATAGGACGGCGGAGATGTTGAATATTATGGAAGCCTTTTCGAAAGCGAGCGAGTATTGGGCCGTCGATTTGTGTGTAAAGGCATCGAACCTGCGAAGCGCTACATGTCAGTATGGTCAAGCGGCGCGTTGGGCCGCGAGACACAGCAGGAGCGACGGAAGACGTACCAAGTGAAGGAGATCTTGATGTGTTGCTCATCGACAGGAAAGCGCAGGTCGAGGAGCTCGAGCTGACCGTAGTATCTGTAGAGCATATCGCGGCCCGAGGTGCTGTCCTTGCCGGCGCCTCTCACATCCTGTCGCAGACGATTGAGGGTGGCGCACTCCTCGGCATAGCGCTCAGGATCATCGCCGTATGTGTCCCTGATATAATCCTTCAGCGGGGTGACCCAGTCGATTTCGTTTGTGGCCTTGAGAGGCGAGGAGATCATGGGCGACTGCATCATTTTGAAAGACGGCGACGAGGCCAGCTCCGAAGACGAGGTTTCGGCCCGGGGAATCGCGGGGATGTCGCGGGGGACAGTGAATCGCAGTCGGAGGGGTGGTTTGCTGTGATGGGCAGCCTCGTTCAAATGTCTTGATGATTGGGTGGCATACGGGGCCTTGTCAGAGGTGGCCTTGGGAAGAAAAAGGTGACGGGCTGGAGATGGACGGATGCAGCTCTCCGGTCAGGTCGCTGGGCAGGTTGCTGGTTGCTGGTTGCTGTTTGCTGTCTGTCTTGCCGTGGCGGGCGGAGTGCGGGGTGGGGGCGGGCAGCGACGATTGAAGGAGCCCAGAATGGTGGCAGCTCAGTCGGGTGCAGTTGAGAGTCAGTGCACCCAAGCTCAATCGCGAGTACGTACTTCCGTCTCTCTGTCAGGTCAGGCCAGGTCAGAAACGTCAGGTACCCGATGTGAATACGTGTGTTCGGTTGCTGGTGAACAGAGGTAGACCCGGTTTGTGGTGCTGCTGGCTGCTGGTTGATGGAGAAGGATGCCCGCCGTCGTCGTCGGGTAGTTGCTCTCGGCGGCGCTGATGGCGCTGGCTGATGTGGGTTGCTGTTCTGCGACCGGCCTTAAGTTTTGGTGCCTGTTCAGGATGAGGTGCAGATTGACTGAGGAATGTTGGTGTGGTAGTACGACAGTTTGCGACGGATTGTCTTGCAAAGGTGGCAACAATATCGTTGTATTCTTCTCTCTTTCTTTCTTTCTTTCTTTCTCTCTGGCTATTGTTTGTGAAGAAATGTACCAGACTCGTGTTCCTGTGAGGTCATAATGCTGGGGGACCTGGTGAGATGAGGGACTGCCGGTAATTTAGACAGAGGAGGGCCTAAAGAGGAGTTTCTTGGGAAGGGCGGGGCAGCTTTCGTGTGTCCGACCGAGATGGCTCGGCGTCGTCAGGCGTCTCGTTTTCGTCTTCAAACACCTAAACAGCCCAGGTTTTGCGCCTCTGGCGGTGGCGGTACCGGATTGTCGGTGATATATGCTTGGTTGACGAAGCGCCCAAGCCTCGGAGATTGGAGGCAAGTAAATGTCTGCACCTTGTTCATTCGTCGCCGTCTTCTTGTTGCACTGCTCAGCTTAGCCTCGTGTGAGTGGTGTTGACGTTGGCGCATAACGTGTACCTCACGGCTACTGGGAGAGGGTACGTTGGGCTGTCTTACGTAGCCGCCAGGCAGTGAGAATTGTCCACCACGAGCCGGGGATGTTCCTGGCTTTTTGGCGGGGGCCGAGACGAGGGTGCGAACCGTCAGTCACACTTGGCTCACAAGCGAACTGTGAGGAGAGTAAGTACGGAGTAAACTCTCTATCCCTCTTCCATGGCTTCTCTTTAGGCAACTCCTTACACTTCAACTGATTCAACGCAAATCACGGCACCTCACGCAGGGTCAACAGTGACAGTTCTCCATGATCCGTCAGTCCACTAGACAATTCAGCCGTAGCCAAGCGCTCTCGACCTACCCTCGATCGGGCATCTATCTAAACGCGCCTATCCCGACTCTTTGGTGCCAATATCACCAAGCAACGTCAAGCACCATGAGACCTCAAATCCACCTTTGCCTGGGGTCCCAATCACCTCACCGTACATCAGGTTACCTCGCCTATCGCGTCGACATGCCCAGATGGCCTATCCCTCATCTCTGGCGGGATCACAGTGAGACGTTGCCCAATGCAACTCTCCTCCGTCTCTCGCATGCTCCCTCACTCCACTCCCGATAGTTTGCTCCGAACAATTCGGCCAAGCTAACTCTCGCCTGGCCGTCTCATGATATCCATGTGGTTCCGTTCCGTTCCACCTTGGCCAGACCGCACCGTCTGCTCATCACGGTACCATCGCTGCTTACATGTACGTCCCGATGTCTTTCTGCATGTAAGCACAGCTTCGCCGAAGAGCGGTGATCTGACATTCCAAGCGAGCGCAACGAATTCACGCGCAATTTCTTCCACTCAACCAAACATTGGAATAGAGAAAACACACCATGGTCCTTCACCGCAGAGAAATGCAGCTCGACGACGCGATGCCCCTTCAATACCAGCAGAATCCATCCGCAATCCCACTAACACCCACAAGCACACTTCACCTAAACCTCGACAACCCACGTTTCCGCAACCACATTGGCCCCGGCCCTCATGCAAGTGACGGGCCACCCAATATCCGTACCTTAGCTACCCCTCCGCCCGGGCCTCCCATTGGTCGCCGGCGGCCGGCGCTTCGTGGCCCCACTCTCAAGGACCCGAGCCAGGACCAGGTAACAGGCCCGAACGGCCCGCTCCTTGCAAGGGCCCCCGTCTTTCCATTCTTTGTGGCAATTTTCCCTCAACAGCCATCCGTTGCTTTCAGTTTCTTCTTGCGCGGCAAGACGCCGTTCCTGCGGTCAAAACCAACCAGACTTTTCCTTGCGCATCACGGCGCTCACATGGATTTCATGCGTCTCATCGTCTAGATTTTTAAGCGCCCCGCGTCACAACCAGGCGCCGTCTCGAGTTTTGAACTTCTCCCGTAGCATTTCATTCTGCTCAAAGTTATTGATGAAAAGTTGTTATATACTTTCTTCATTGATTGGGTGTGGTCCTTTTATAAATAATCTGAGGTGAGTGGCCTCCGCGGGGAGCTGGCTTGTCCTTCTTTCCTCCCCTCCTCTCCCCCTTTCTCTCCCCCTTTCTCTCTTCTCCTATGGTCTATACTACACTGTACACTTTTCTTAGTCATGTTAATAATACAATCGAGCAAAGCAATGAGGCTTTCTCCATAAACCAAACAAACATGGGCTGGCAACCTCCCCCCCTCTTTCTGCCGACGAAACGTCGGGATTACACAGAACAAGATAGAAGCCAGAAACGAAAACCTTTGTAAACACCTGCCATGCAAGATCCTCCAACCTTCAGTTTCTATGATCAAACCGGGAAGAAAGGTCGCGTCTGCACCGCCAAGGCCCCCGAGATATGGTACAAGGACAAGCAGCGAACCGGTAGCTCAAGATGAGTCGCCGGAGCTTTAAGAGCCCTACTTGGACTCGTCCTTCTTCTCGTCCGTCTTCTTATCCGTTGTCGATTTGTCTGCTGCATCGTCACCGGGCTTCTGGTGAGCCGGGTGGTTCGTCAGGGTATGCCACATGGACTTGAGAAAGCCCTCGTTCTTGTGGGTCTCGGAGTCGTCGGGCGAAGCTGGCTGGGTTCTACTTTCGGGAATTAGTACAAAACGGGGCGTTCGAGGTGTCCTGGGATTAGGACTGTATAAGGGAGAAGAGAGAAAGAGCCTGGCAACGGCAGCTCGCTTGTGTTCGCGCGCAAGGAAGGGAAGGAAAAAAGAAAAAAAAAAAAACTCACCCCTGGGGAGTGACGTTCATAATCTTCCGCGCCGTCTTGTCTCCCATCTCGTTCGCCAGCATCTCCACCAGCGTACGCTGGTTCGCGCTCAGGTACTTGGGCATATTCACCCGGAACTCCACCTTGAGGTCGCCGGAGCCGCCTCTTCTGCCGTTGAGCTTGTTCATGCCCATGCCGGAAAGCGTCAGCTTGTCGCCCGTGTTGGTTCCCGTCGCCACCTTGACATTGACCTGCCCATCAAGCGTCGGCACCGTGACCTCGCCGCCGAGCATCGCCGTCGTAATGGGGATGCTGGCCGTGTACAAGATATCAGAACCCGCACGACGGAACTTGGGATCCGTCGCGACGCGCACAAAGACGTAGAGGTCGCCCTTTTGCGTCCGCATGCCGGCCTCGGCGTTCTTGCCCGTGACAGGCGCATCGCCCGCGCCGTCGACGCGCAGCCGCATCCCGTCCTCGATTCCCGCGGGGATGTCGACCGTAATAGTCTTGCGCTCCCTCACGACACCGTTGCCCGCGCACGACCTGCACTCTGACCCGCGGGGGATCGTCGTGCCCGTCCCGCCGCAGCTCCCGCACGTCGACGCCATCTGGAACCCGCCGTTCATGAAGTGCACCCGGGTACCCGTTCCGTTGCACGACTTGCACGCCGACCTCTTTGTGCCCTGCTTGAGTCCGCTGCCCGTACACGTCCCGCACCCCGTCAGGGGCGTCACCGTGATCGTCTTGCTCGTTCCCTTGGCCGCCTCCATGAAGGATATGCTCGACTGCACCTCAATGTTGTCGCCCACCAGGATTTCCTGCTGGAAGGGGTTCTGTCCTCTGCCGCCGGCGCCGGCGCCGCGGCGTCCGAATCCTTGGCCGCCCGTGAAGGCGGAGAAGATGTCGTCAAAGTTGAAGCCGCCGGCGCCGCCGAAGCCTCCCTGCCCTCCGAACCCGCCGCCGAATGGGTTTCCAGCGCCTCCGAACGGGTCGCCGCCGCCGCCGCTGGGGTCGAAGCCGGCAGCGCCGTACTGGTCGAATTGCTGCTTCTTCTTGGGGTCGGACAGGATCTCGTATGCGCTCTGGATCTCGCCAAACTTCTCCTTCGCTCCGGCATCCTTGTTCGTGTCGGGATGGTATTTCTTTGCTAGGCCGTAGTATGCCTTCTTGATGTCGCCCGCAGATGCTGATTTGTCAACACCCAAAGTCTTGTAGGGGTCGCTCGGTGCGAGGTTGGTGGATGTCGCATGGAATGCCTAAAGAAGTCAACATTCAACAGGCTGTTTTGATACTCTAGCAAGCAGTATTACTTACACGTTTGGATGAGGGAGCTTGAGATGTCACCCGGGAAGCTAGAGGCTTCGTGGGTCTAACGGTACAAGTGACGGTGTGGATTTGGGCGCGTTTGCAGACAGCATCCTTGAGCTTGGATTGCCTAGAAATACGGCTGGACAGCAGACGGCCCGGGGCCGCTGCCTTTGTAAGAATGCTTGCATTCATTGTGAAGCTTGTCGAATCATCTGAAAGCAGTGTGTCGTAGATTTTAGGCGGTTAAATTAGACCTGGGGATGCGGAAAAAGCATCAACGTCCAAGTGGAACTCTCCCGCAAATTCTTTGCCCTTCGATGCCATTGGAGACGGGATGATATCAACTTTTTTTTGGCCCGATGCTAAGCCGAAAGACGGTGATTGCCTCAGGCACCTGCAGCAAGAAGGGCGCGGGTGAGTGCAGGGGGACCGGGGGTAATTTGGGTAAGTAAAATGGGGGTAACTGCTGCACCTCAAGCTTCACGTCAGCAATTGGGATGGCTTTAAGTGGCTCGCGAACACGCCCCACAGCCCACAGGTGGAAATTCGCGGCTACGTCTGGGGGATGCGCGTTGTGCAGTGCATGAAAGCCTTCGGTGCGCCGGGACTCGGAGGAGCAGCCGGGGCAAATCAAGGCGCGCAGTGTCCAAATAATTGCAGATTTCTGAAAACTCTCCCGATCCAAAACTCCATATATCATTACTGTGATAGATCATAGCCATGTAAAAAAAAAAAAAAAAATTAGTAAAAAATTTGAGACAAAGGATCTGGTCTTTGTCGTCTATCGTCATGGGGGTTTCCTGCCCACGGTGAGGTATCATTATGCAGTCCGAAATCGCCCAAACGGCCGGCGTGGCTCTATGCTCCGGTGACACAAGTGTACCCGTCAACCAACTTCGTTCGATGCGTGTAAATCCCAAAAAGTAGTCATTCCGTCATTAAGGTCTTTAAGCGTCGTGCGATTTCGAATTCGATTTTCGGTGGCGGTCGCTTTTGGTTATGGCGTGGCTCCTGACTTTGTGAATAAAGTCGACGATGACATCGTTTTCTTGTATTCCGACACCGTTGAAGTGTTTCCGCACCGTCATCGCTAATTGTTCCTTGCTCTGCCGTCTATTCTCCTTCTTTCGAGCCATCGTTGGGGAGTGTAGGCCAATTCCGCCAGGTCGCGAAAGAACCAATTGACGGTACGAGCACGAGAAAGAGGTAGGAGTATTGAGGTGATGCTCGCGACGGTATGCATGGAGTGTGTCTCGCTCAAAGGTTTTCCATTGAATCTGAAAAATTACAGTGTTAGCCGGTAGTTCTACGAGGCTGGGACGCTGCCTATGTGGGTATGGCGAGGTTGAAGGGGTGAGGTGCATTCTTACGCCTGGATTTTGAGCAGCCTCCTTGGCCGTGGTGGGAGCATCCGCAGGAGCGTTGGCATTTGTAACTTCTCGCAATTGAGAACCCGTCGAGCTGGCCACACGACGAAGCTTGCCGTTCGAGTGACCACCAGAACCAGACGTGTGCTTCTCTTTGGTGTTTGTGTTCTCGGACTTTGTGTCGTCGTGAGCGACCTTTGAAGATTTGGGTGCCATGACGGTGGTAGGAATAAAATGAGGATTTGCCGAGGCTGTCGGAGCTGATTTGGTACAGGTCGCAGGAACTGGAGAGAGAGAGAGAGAAATAGAGAGGCGTGCCTTGGTATCACATCGTACTCGAGAATGAAGATTGAGGAGAAAACGGTGTGAGGGGGGGAAAGAGAGGCAGGGTCGGGGCGCGGGAGAGTGGAAGCGTGGATGTGTGGACGAGAAGGGGATTTTTTCTCACGTCATGGCACCAAACAGCCGGCGGCGCCTCTGTTGGTTGCTGGTTGCCCCTGGCCTTGCCTGCCTCGAGGAGCGAGCTGCGGGGCGGCCACTGGCGGCATGGCGGAATTCGGGGTCTGGCGTGAACTCTGAACAGCGAGCACTGGACAGCTGGAGAGGCACGAGAGGTTGTGCCTGGAAAAGTTGGGCCCCCGTTGCTGGCGTCAATGTGGTGCGACATCGGTACGTATACGAAAGTGGTGCTTGAAATGCCATCCTCCGTTATTCAGGCCGGTGGTCTGCTTACCTAAGTTGAGGGGTGTAAGTCGGCTCCGGAGCAAATTTTCAGCTTCAGCCTAATTGGGATAGCGCAATGGTGGACCCACCTCGATGTGAAGTTCCATCGGCCCCTCACTGTTTTCCCGCGCGGTCCAAAGTCACGACGTCTATCCCACTTCGTCCTTTCATCAGCAAACACATTCTGATACTTCAGACTCGTGGAAATCAGACGCTCTTCACCAATATCAAACCTCAAGGCAAACTCAACAGCTTCGACTTTCACCATCTGCTAATGATGAATAACATGGAAGCAATGATCTCGAATCACCATGCTATCTTCAACCGCAAGCCAGTGACTACCATGCTACGTACCAACGAGCAGAATGGAGACTTGGATTGACAAGTTGCCAAATCCAGGGGCAGCATATCAAGCTTTCGATTGGAAAAGCTTCCGTCCGCCAGAACACAGTACCTATCCAGCAGAGCTTTAGATTTAAGGCCGTTGTGCGCCCATTGATTGACGTCTGCTTGCACGGGGAAATCCCCTTTGACAAACTCAACCCCAATTTCCCCACATCGAGGGAGGCCGAGTCTTGGCTGCACGAACACATCGGCCGCGCCCGCGAGCACCAAGGGAGGTTCTCCTCCATTCTTGGCCTCCTGGTCGAGCCAGCTTGCCAGGGCATCTCAATACCTCCAGGGCTCCCGGCCATACAGATAGATACCCGAGTCACAGTACGGCCCGCGAGATGTGCCCGACAAGACTGTGTCTGGGTTTCCATCCCCCACGCTGTACGAAACACTAGGTGTGGCTGGCCCAGTAGCTTGGGCGACCATCTCGCACGTAATTGAATCTTTGCACGAGGGTCATCCCACATCGAGACGCAGGTGGACCAAGAGACCCCCAAACTTTCTTTCGACGCCAGACTTGGGAGCCCCACGACGTTCTATCTGCTCTACCTATTCCTCAACTAATATCGAAACTAACTACGCAGGCTAGACAAGAAGGAATAGTGTCTGCTTTGAGGTTTCGAAATTTCGCCGAGTCATTTGACTGACGCCCTGGTCGTGCCAAAGGCTTCGAGAAGGGGGGCTGGCTACCCAATCGATACATGATCGGGCATCCTCATTCGAACACGCATCGGCGTGCGGATTGGTCAGGTGTCGAACCTGTCTACAGCTCCAACCCGCAAGGACATGCGCAAGTGGCACGCTTTCGATGAGAAACCTGAACCCTCACGACCCTTTGCCCGCCGTAGGCGCTACAAAGATCTACCAATTCTATTGCCTCGCAAAACATTGATGGAATGACTAGGCGAATCGTCCAGAGAACCTCAACTCCAAAACCACCACAGAAAACCATCAGCTTGCTGTTCGTTGAATATACTTCCGAACTATGGCTTACTAGGAGATCATTTAGTTGTTACCCTCACCCTTGAGGGGCCACTGCGTGCGAAGGAGCCCTTGTCCCTGCTGAAGCTCACCGTGGGTGGAGCCGACGGTCTGTGGTTCTCCTCCAACAGGTGCTGACCGACGATCAGCTATATATCCCTGCAACCACCTCCACCACAACTATTTGCGAGTCGCCTCGGCCCTAGGCTGAAGTACAGTTCTAGATGACGGCTACTATCGACATCATTTAGCCGGCAACTTGCACGCCGAATTTCCTTGGCCAACGTTCTCTGCCTCAGATTCTCTACGTCAGATGGCATCAGAACCTGCCTAGAGATAATCCTTTAGATATTCAGCTGAGGCGCTGCCATTTCAAACTAGTTGTTTCGCTGCGTGACTGTGAGGGCGAAGAGGAAACCCACCATTCGCAGCTACGAAGATACATAGACAAAAGTCACCAAGGTACAGGGAACCAGGATGGTGAGTCCGAAGACCTCCATCGTTTTTGGATCGAACATCTGTTCCTAACCCCCAATCTGTTGACCGAAGCACTGCAACTTGAGCCCATTCGACTGCCGGCAGCGATGGAAGAAGGGCGTGGATGGTTGCTCACAAGCAAATTTGGGCTGTCAGTGCCACGACAAAGAGGGTCGTGTGCTGCCTTTCCGCTTTCAGGGTCTACACCAGATTGGGAACCCATTACGAGATGAGAAGAGCCAAGGAATTGAGAGTGCATCAACGGGGATGGCCGACATACCGGCTGAGACTCCGGAAATACTCTTTTGAACGTATCCGTCTGCCTCGACACTTGGACTATGCCGACTTGGAAGATTCACCCACGCCCCACCCGAGAATGCGGTATTTGTTCCTGATGTGCCTCACGCGTCTCAGCCTCAGAGCGTGGGGTTGATAACTGGCACAAGATCGACAACGACATGGCATCCGCCTTTGGGTGAATTCGAGCGCGTATGATGGGCCGCTAGCTTGGCCTCTGAAGTGTCGCAGCTTGGTTATTTCCGAGCTTCATTAGTGAGTGCTGCAGCTTCGGTCTGACAGCAACAGCTTAGACGCGATAAGCGGGCAGTTTGTAGGTCTGGTGCGACCTGCCACGATAATAACCACGTGTAAGATTAACGGTGACAGGTAATTGACAGGCAATTTACAGCAATATTGTGCTGCTTGTGTGGCGCACATTTGCCTCTCTTCTGCGTCTTCCTCGACGCTGAGCATGTATACTTTCACAATGTCTTACTTCCTTGTCAACACAACACCACCCTCGAGCGGAGCAATCTTGTAACTCTTACCGCCATTGACGCCGACGCACCACAGAACGGCAAAGACTTATGAAGCAAATTACGTGGGCAATTACACTAACAAGAACGATCTCCGGCGAAATATTGACAGTGCCGTCTGTGGGTAGCTAACCAACTAATAACGCACACGCTGGTTGGCAAAGGCTGGCAGCAATAAAAGAAGCTCGAGAAGTCTAGGTGACACCGGCGGCCGATCCACGCAACCATGTCGATAGGCCGGGGGTATGGCGCCCCAGAAGAGTGAAGTCCACCGTCCAAGCTCCAGACCGTGCCCATCCCCACACGTCTCGTCTTCTTCAAGTGAGCTACGGATACGCACACCGGCCATCCCTGCAGAAGCTAGCCACGCCAGTCACGGACGGCATGGGCATGCTTGTCGTAAGGCGAGCGAGGAGAACTCGGGGGATCTTTGGGGGTCTCTGGGCGGGGACCCTCTAGCTCAAAGGGACCAGTCTGTGTTTGCTGTGCTCATCCCATCCAGTTGATGGTCGTACGACGACAGAGAACACCACTTGGAAATGTCATGAGAGCAACCTCTCAGCTTGGCCCGCCCCGTTACCTCGCTACTCGGAACTATGTGGAGCTATTGTGAGGACAAAACGTCACTGTCTCTTCGTTCACTTTGGCTCAACATGGCGGCTTGCCGACCGATATCCGTCAACCGAAAAGACGAGGCGAGCGATGTTGTGAATTGGGGGGGGGGGGGGGAGTTCCTGACCCAATATACTTACGGCTTAGTCTTTTTATTAACCACGCCAACCAGATCGATCTCCGCTCCCTAGGAAAAAGCAGGTCAGAGGTGTCAAGATTTCTCACCCGACAAAATGTATCCATGGATTGCAACCAAACCCAGCCGAGCCCGGTGGTTTTGGGCATGTTCAGTTGCATTTTCCTCGGCTACCACTATAGCGACGGCTGCTGGAGCGGGATTTTGCGGCCAACCAGGCTCTTGGGCTCATTGCTCTTTTTCCTCTCTCCGTGTACCTATTCCGAGGAGGACGTACGGGAGCATGGTGCGGCTGCCTCGGACGGATACCGTACTCTTTCTTCCATGACGGCAAATGACGAGGCGCAGGAACGCACTTGCACAGGTGGTCACTTGTCAACTTTTTTTTGTCGGGTTCTCGCGAACGGTACCGAAGACCAGCCGGATGCCCCCCTCTGCTTACACGACCTGTTGCCCTTGTTCAAGTTCCGATATTGTCCTGCACCACACTTTGAGCGAGGGCCGTTCCCTCGGCGCGTCTATCCTGCTCGGGGCGAGGTACGCAGTACCATGGCAATTATTACATGTACGGGATATACGGTATGAGTGCCTGGCCGCATCATCTTTCAAGCTCTCCCCCCCCTCTCCGAGTGCACCCTCAAAGACCTTTCTGTAGTAGACTGTGCCAAGGAAGGGTCGCAAAAGGGGAGTCACCCAAGAAGCATTCCAACCGCAACATGCCATGTTAATTATTACATGTACTTTGTACGGGTTATTCGAAGGCGCACTAATGAAGGACCCCTCCCCAATGGCGTGGCCCACCACACCTTTTTTTTTTTTTTGCATGGTACGGCTCTACCGTCAATGTCTGCTCCTATGGGAGTGTACAGCTTAGCATCTGCTTGGTCAAGGTCATCTGGGTTCTGCGCATCGCATCGCATCGCATCGCATCGCCGGCGGGCCTCACACCTTGGCTACACCCTGGGTTCACCGATGGCCGGGTTTGTCTGGAAGGGTGGAAGGGGGGGAAAAGGGGGGCACGGGGGGGGGGAAGAGAATCCGCACACTCTGCCTGCCTGCCTGCCTGCCTGCCTGCCCTGCCCTGCACAGAATGGAAGCAGAGAGGGGTGAGCTTACCTTACCTTGGATGCTTGAGGGTGGTCGAGAGGCAAGAGAGACTGAGACTCTGAGAGAGAGAGAGAAAGTGGGAGTGGGAGGTGGCATAAGACCCCCCACACTCCCACTCTGTGCTCTCCATCCGTCTGCCCAGATGGTTAAACGCTTTTTTTTTTTTTTTTCCAATTCAACCCACTTCCCCAGGACTTTGCCGCCATTATCCATACTAAGTTACTAACGCGGTGGACCAGCTCCAAACACAAGCACCACCCACGCACCACCATTCCAGTCGATATTACCTACCTTACGGAGTACCTTACCTTACGGATAACCCAGATATTGGATTTGCCATCCATCCCCGAGGCCCAAATCTTCAACGGCAGCAAACATCTTTCTGCCCTGTCATCCGAGCTTCGAGAAGAAAGGCGACATTGTTTCCTGCCTTTGCGTGCGCCCCCATCTCTCTCGCTCTCTGCCTGCCTCGAACTCAGCAACACAAACGCACACGGCGCGTCCTGTCCAACTACGATTATCGATTCTTCTGCTTTGCGCTGCACTGCCGTTCACAGTCCAGCGAGAGCCCTTGCATCCATCGACTTGGCGAGGTGAAATCTTCTTCAGGTGAGGCATTCCAATCCGATTTGTCTGTCTCGTTCTCCCTCTCTGTTTCTCTGTTTCTCTGTTTCTCTGTCTCTCCGTCATCCGTCGCCTCTTTCCCGCCCTCCATTTTCCTTCTCTTTTCTTCCCGTTCCCTTCCCATGTCTCCCGGCATTTCGAATCCAACCCCCGGGGATTTGAGAGACAATTCTACCTGGTACCCGTCAGACATGCCGCCGTGGACCAGGAACGACGATTTGCCACGCCCGCATCCATCCAGCTTCCAGTGCCGGATACCATCCACCAGCTAGGACCACGAATCGAGCTTGACACGGGTTACTCGGGACGACGATACCTCAGCTGGATGACATGCGACCAAGCTCGATCGGCTGCTATTGCCGCCGCAGCTACTGCTGTAGTCGTCACAAGCGCTGGGCACCGATCTGCTCAGCGGCGCTCCCCGACATACACTTCATCGCCGCTGTCCTTGAGTTTGAGGTACCTACCTTAACCTCAGGTTAGCTGGGAATGCCACTGACGGACATCAACGGTTCGCTTCGGTTTACTTCGCACTCGAGGGACCGCGCCGTCCGGCCCCAATGTACCCCGAAGCTCCAGGTACCTGATCTTGGACCAGAATCACTGCACTCCATCTCTGCTTCCACCACCAGATCCCGTACCCGGTACAATCCCCATCTCGTCCCGTCTCCTGCCATCCTTTCAGTCAAGGTTCCCTAGGGAGTCTTGCTTCTTAGAGGCTGGACCGCCCCGGACGACAGCTTGTGCAACTGGAACGGCGGCGACGCCTCCCCCAGGAAATAGGGAGCGAGGAGGGAAAAGACGAAACTCTCTTTTTTCCCTTCGCCGTCTCTGCTCCCACCCCTCGTCACTCAGCTGCTCTTCATCTACGAATACGGTACTTGCGCTTCTCCAACCACTCCCTCCCAGGCCGTGGACTAGGCTCTGTGGCTCTGTCTGCAAGTCATCGCCCAACGTCAAAGCAATAGTGCATCGGACTCCTTCGGTCTACTCAGCAGAGATCTATCCGTATGGAGAGAGAGAGAGAGAGAGAGAGAGAGAGAGAGCACCAGAGAGAGAAGAAACAGTGAGAGTTGATGGCGCCAGGCCAGGCTCTTGGTTGTTACACACCCACCCCCTAGGACGCAACGCTTTGGTCCATCTCTATCGCCCTTTAGTCCACAACTCACTCCACAGCCCTTGGGGCCCTGGTCCACTCCCTTCCGCAACCTCCAACCTTGCCGTCTCTTATTTTATTTTTTGACACCCCTCCCCCCTCCCGTCTCTTTCGCTCTGTCATGCAGTGCAGCGCTCGTCCATTTTACCGCAACAGGCGGCAGACCCGTCATTAATACTACCATCTCCACCAACATCCACCTGCTAACCATTCCCAGCTGCTTACCTTGCCTTGCCTGATCTCGCCTCAAGGGTCTCCGTACCTCGACTGAAGCAGCATCTCACTGTCCTCGAGAACTGCGCTCTCAGCCGCGACTTTTCCCTCACGCATCGCACTCTGCCTTCTTGCCACGCCGTTGCCGCTACCGTTAACCTCTGCTGGCCGGTGTCACTTCCTCTCAGTCATGTTTTGAAAATCCTCTCCAATTGGCTTTGGAGAGGCCAACCTAGAAAAGTCGAGTGCGATTTTGCGCACGCAGCTTGTACATTACGAGAACTGAAGAACACGAAACATCCAGCACACTGATCTAAATGCACTGCCAAAGTCGCGCTACTTGATCATTCTTCGACTGCCCCTTCTAGGCTTTGCAAAACAAGAGTCCTAATACCCTTGCGACGAGAGGCTTCGAGCGCAACGAAGCTGGTGCCTCTGCGTCTTGGTCTGTTACATCGCGACAGGACCCGCGCCGCCAACTACCTCGGATTTCCCGACACCTACAATAGGAAGCTGCCGTCTGAAAAAATCATGACTTCTGTTTTACCCGCACACCCAGCTACTTTCAAAGCCTCGAATTCGCTGCCCTCTGCCGGCCCTGCGACAATGGCGACAAAACACGAGCCGCGAACGAGTCCGCAGCACTTCATTAAGCAAGAACACGAAATGGGGAGAGGGAGACTGCGGGAGATCTCCGAGGACAAGGATGCCGACATCATGGACGACGATGGCGACGAAGGAAAGGCCGGTTCCTCTAACTCGGAAGGTGGTCCTGCTAGGAAAAGACGGAGGAGTCGCAAAGGCTTGGACAAAAAGTTTGAATGTCCTCAAGAGGGCTGTGGAAAGAGCTACTCCAGAGCCGAGCACTTGTACGTGGTAATGTGCGAAGACGGTGCCTTATTTAACTAACAACTCCCCAGGTACCGTCACCAGCTCAACCACACGCCCAAGCAGATATATGCTTGTGACTTTCCTGATTGCAGTCGTACTTTCGTTCGGCTTGATTTGTGTAACCGCCATAGAGACCGTCACACAGCCAAGGGGTCTGCCCTGAACCGTAAGGACTCGATGATGAGCCATATCTCCCCTACTACGGATCGCCCACCTTTCCCACTGCCTGGGTCTGCTTCGCCCGAGATTAGTCGGCCGGGAACGGGCTTCGCCAATATGCGGCAAGCCCAAATGCAATATCAGTCGCCCAAGGACGTATCTGGCAGTCCGTTCATTCAGGCAACCAACACACCACCGGGATACCCAATAGGTGTGCACCCTGGTGGAATGGACGGCTACATGCATCACGACAATGGGTACGGAGGCGTTCAGGCGCATCGCCCCCCGCAACAGTCTCCGAGCGGACCAAGGCCGGTTGGACAACCCAACGGGTCTTACATGTCCCCGGTTGCCAATCCACACGGCTACCACACCCAGCCGCACAATACCCCTCAGTCTGCAGCATACACAACTCAGCAGAACTTCCCGCAATTCAACTTGCCGCCCTCCGACTTCTCCAACGGCGCGGGTAACGTACCCCGCGAGGGCCAAACATACGCACCGACCACGTCGGCCGAGTACAGTGAACAGGGTCATCCCCAGCAGTCAGGCGAGATGATGCTGCTCGATCAGATGTCTATGCCTGGGACGATCCCCGTTTTCGGGAGCGACAGCATCTTGAGCAAATCACCATATGTCACAATCCCCGAAGATTTCGTTGCCTACCTCTTTAACACGCAACAAGGAGGTGAAGGCTCACCCATGGGCCAGATGGTGGCTCCCGGGTACGTTCACAAGTTGGTTTGGCCTTCGTTTGGATAGAAACTCCGCTAACAATCTTGCAGCTACGGCGAGTACCAGAATCCCTATAGCGTCCCCTATGTGGGAACAGAGGGCGTGCCTATGGGATACTTCCCCTCAGGCCCTCATCAAGTCATGGCTGTCAACAACCTGCTGGACCAGAATCTTCCAGAGGCTACGATATCTGAGGAGAAGAGCCAAGAGATTTATGACTTCATCAACCAAAGGTTTCACGACAACGATGAAGCTCCGGCGATGCGACAGCGTGAAAGCATCTTGGAGGGTGACCGCAGCGACGGCGACCACATGCTCAGCAAGCGCATGATGCAGGCTTACATCGGCTCGTACTGGGTTCATTTCAGTGACCAGATTCCCATCCTTCACAAGCCTACATTCTCGCCTGACCGGACTCCGAATCTGCTTCTTCTAGCAATGATGACGATAGGTGCGGCATGCCTCGACAAGACACACGGCCACAAGGTCACAAAAGCGGGTGCTCAGCTGTCCAACTTTATCGCCTGGCACCTGAGATGGGAGATTTTCATGGACCCGAATTTCAGGCCGCCGGCAAAGCTGTGGCTGTTCCAGACACTTCTACTTCTTGAACTGTACGAAAAGATGTACTCAACTAGAGAACTGCACGAGCGAGCCCACATCCACCACGCAACCACAATTACCCTGATGCGCCGTGGAAGATCGCTCATTGGCAAGTCATCTCTCGACTCGCCACCCAACCCTCGGGACGACAAGACGAACAGCTCGCGCCATTCCTCGGCATCCGGCGTGGCCCACACCGCAGACGAGTGGTGGAATCACTGGATCACCAACGAGTCGACAAGACGAGCTGCATTTGCTGCTTTCGTCATAGACTCCATTCACGCTACAATGTTTGGCCACTCTACGGTCATGGTCACGCACGAAATGAGGTTGCCTCTGCCCTGCGATGAGGCGTTGTGGAAGGCTACGAGCGGTGCGGAAGTCGGTAGAGTTGATTCCAATCTACTGTCCAACGGTGTCAAGCCGATCTCTTTCCTGGAGGGTCTGAAACGAACCCTCAGTGGCCAGGGCGTACAGACCAATCCTTTCGGTCGTATGGTCCTCATGGCCGGCCTCCTCAGCGTTAGCTGGCACATGAATCAAAGAGATCTTCAGGTCAACGTTCTTGGCGGCGGCGTGTCTCAGGCACTGGGCGGTAGAGACAAATGGCGGGGAACACTCACCAGGGCCTTTGACGCATGGAAGGAAGATTTCGACAAGTCCCTCACAAGGACAGAAGGCTCTTCTGACCCATACCGCTTTGACTCGGCAAAGAAGAATGACGCCAACGTCGTCTTTGAGAGCCGCACCGTACTGCATCATCTTGCTCATATGGCAATGCACGTTGACATTGTCGACTGCCAAATCTTTGCTAGGGCAAAGCGGCTTCTTGGACGAGCTATTGGGCAGCAAGATCTCAACAGTGCTCAACGAAGGATGAAGGACATTTGGGCGCCAACTGCCAAGGCCCGCGACGCGACCTTTTATGCCCTCAAGTTCATCAGCTCTGTTCTCATACCCGATGGCGGCCATGCGCATCAACCCAACGGCTTCAAGTCCGATGAGCCGTACACTGCGCGAGACGACGTACTGCTCAACAGGCCTTGGGTTCTGTACTTTGCTGCCCTTGTCGTATGGTGTTATGGATTCGCCCTAGAAGGCCCCTGTCCTGAAGTCCCGCTCCCGACATCCAAGCAGGAACAGGTACGGCAAATGCGAGAGTATCTTTTGAAATACGGCGGCGCGTCCTCGCCAGACGAGCTCAAGGCGATGAAGGGCATCAACGAAAACACCGCGATGCTGCTAGTTCTCAAGGACTCATTTGAAACCACTCGTTGGGAGCTGTTGCATGAGGGCGCCAATCTGCTCAGCAATTGTCTCCAGCTGAACGCTGGGGCTACCGCGATGTAATTGGCGAGTTGCGAGATGACGACCAAACTGCATTCGAGCCAATTTTACTACGACATACACATGGTAATGGCACGACTTATTGACGACTGGGGGATTGACTTTGAAATATTATACCACTTCTTGCGATTACATGATGGGAGGATCAAGGCCTCAGACGACAAGTTCGAACAACTGAGAGCCAACGTGGACATAAAGCCTGAGCATTTTTCTTTTTGTGTGTGTTGTACTGTATCTATACCCCCCCCTGATGCGCGCGCCCTACCGCAGCACGATGGATTCTTCGTGACATGGCAGCAATAGCGCTGAGACGGAAAAAGTAGGGTGTCGAAGAGAGTACATTGATAACTATTCTTACCTGATCACATTTCATGTTCTGTTATATGGACATCTGTGAACGCCATCTTTTTCCAGCTCCGCCGCGGCAGCCGGCCCGTCACGCAAGGAGGAAACGACCTAGGTGAGGACGGAACGTGGGGTGTCCGAGGCATTGGAAATCCCACCTATGCGAGTCCAAGTCAGTGGAAGAAACCTTGGCTTAGAGTGTTTGCCAAGGAGGAAGAGCCTCCGTCATCGATCTCTCTCTCTCTCTCTCTCCATTAACTGCTTAGGCCGGGTGCCTTGGATTTATGCTCTTTGCGAATGCTGTTGTCTCCGTAGGCGGGGCGTGGGCGGGAGTTCACGCTACCATTGGAGTAGCAGCGTATGTCCCTAGACTCTCTTCTTTCTTGGGGGGAACGAGGCCAGTCATGTAGTTCGGGAAGTGCCGGTGACTTTTCTCTGCGTCGGTGAGTTGGCACTGGTTCCTGATGCAATCAAGCCAGACGGTCTGTCAAGGACAGCCGGCGACGTTCGCTACTTCGAATTGTGGATCATGTGCTCCGCCTCCGTTTGCTCTCGACATTAATGTAGGTCTCCGGGCCCGGAGCCGGGCGGGCCCAGTTCTCGGCTCCGGTGTGTGCGGGGCTACGAATTCGATAGCGCCATCTGCCGAGGTTCCTTGCCATACTCCGTACCTTAGGTAAGGATGGTAATTAGTGATCTTCTTTACCTTGGGTACCTTACGTCATGATGACTTATACTGACTCTAGTGACTTGTAAACATCGCAATCAAGAGAGAGGCATCCGGCCAAGAGAACAATTTGGGGGACGGCACAGTCGGAAAACCGAGGAACTGTTGTGTTACGAGAGATCAATAGGTAGTGAACCATGGGCGGCTGAGAGCCTTCGTCGGGAATCCGCGAACTATCTCAAAGGCATAAGTTTGCCTAACACGCAGTGCCCGTCATTCTCCACCGCGCTGATACGCCGGAGCTTACACACCCCTAACCTCCGGGGATTCTCCAAAGCTTCACGGATCGCAGGCGGTACCCACACACGCCCGCCCGCCCTGAGGTTCGGATAGGTACACAGTTATCCCCGCACGAACGCTGCATGTGGTGGTCCAGGTCCCGCGTGGGAGGGTTTCGTGGTGGTTGACCAACCGGATAGACGACGTAAGTTTAAGCTTCCGTTCCGCTGTGTCTACCTTGCCTTGCCTTACCTTACCTTGTTCTATTCTTCCCACCTTCACTACCTTACTCCAAGGAAACGTTCCCTTCGTGACTAGTAGCCCCTTCGTTCACACCTTGTTCCCCAACACATCACCTCTCGTGAACGATACTTCACCTTCTTAAAAGCCGTGAACGCGCAACGAAAGACCACAACCGCCGCCGCCCGATAAGCATCAACCCCGCGGTCACTGCCACATGGGTGAAGCCGACGGGGAGTCGTCGCCCAAGATGTCGCCGCCGCCGCCGCCGCCGCAGCAGCAGCAGCTGCTACATATCAATTGGCTCCCGGCAGAGATCCTCCATCACATTTTTTCGGGTCTCGAGCCCCGCGACCTCGGACGTCTGCCCCGCACATGTCGATTCCTGCACTCCTACGTGAAGGGGAACCAGAAACTTTGCAAGGACGTGTATTTGAATGCTCTTGTACGAAATCTCCCCACTGTTCACCTTGCCTTACGCCGTATTGGAGGGGAATATGGTCTAATTCGCAATTTCACACAAACAGGACACACCTAAACAGAATGGATTGGATTGGGAGAGGGAACTGCACGATTTCGTGAGACTCGGCCGCGTTTGTGCCAGTGACAGTGTGAACGAAAAGGTAAGAGAGATTCCCCCCCTCGCCGCTGTCCCGTCATGAGGGTAGAACACACGAGAGTACGAGCAACCAATTCTCATCCGCGCCCCCCCCTCCCTTACCAGTCCCGCGACGACCTCCCATTCGTATCCGACGTCGTCACCAGGCTGCTACAACATGCCTCCCCAACAGGCGAGACGCAAAACGACACAGGCACCCACGCCGTCTCCCGCAACGCCGCCGCCCTAGCCAACATCTTCCGCGACGAGCCCGCGCGGGTGGCCTTCTTGTGCCGCTCCTCCATCTTTGACCGCGCGCGCGGCGATATAGCACGCTCGACGAGCAGTCGCCGTCCGCAATCATCAGCATCTTCGGCATCCTCCTCTTCCTCCTCCTCTGCCTCCGCCTCCGCCTCCGCCTCCAGGACGAACCCAAACGCCGCCGACGACCTCCACCAGCAGAGCGCAAAGCTCCACTGCCTCTACGGCCGCCCCATCTTCAACTTTGGCCGCACGCGGTCGTCGCGGGTCTACCCCTACGCCGCGTGTAAAGTCTACGACATGCGGCAGTACACGACGCGCACGAAATGGGGCCCCTTTCGGGACGACAATTCCGGCAGGGTGGATTGGGAAAAGATGGAGGCCATCATGATCGTGATGGGCAGCAACATCAAGTCGCAGCGCCTTACGGCCAAAGTGTTTTCCAACCTGTGGGAGAAGCCGTTTGCGGGGTCGTGGTCGGGGAGTTATGTCCCCTCGCCGGGCAGGGGCATTCGGGATTTGGATTTGGAGGATCCGTATGGTGTTGCGGGGACGTGGTTGCGGGTTGTTTGTTTCATTGACTATAATGACTTTTTTCATTATAATTTTCCTGTTGGGGAGACGGTGCCGCCTGTGGAGGTGCAGCGGCCGCCGCTTGATGTTGGGGAGGCGACGAGGATTATCTTGATGAAGATGCATGTTGTTGATGTGCAGCCGCCGGGGGAGGAGGATGGTAAGGAGCTGCCTGTGGTGCATTTTCATGGGTTGTCAAGGTCGGTTGATGATTCGTGGGATGAGAATGCGCATTCTCAACTTCGTGGTACGTCTTTTTTTCTTCTTTTTTTTTCTCTTTTTGTGTGATTTTGTTGATTTCGACTGATTCTAATTAGCTATCAAAGGTACGGTCCGGATGACCAAGGAGGGCGAGGTGAGGTGGACGACGTTCTCCGTCTTCAACGGCCACGCGCGGTGGCGGAGCGAGGGGATCCAGATTGGTGGTGTAGGGTCGGCTCGCGGTGTCATGGGACACTGGTTCGATACGTATGTTGCGCTCCCCCCTTTCCTCCCTCTAGTATCTATGCATGGAGGAAAACAAATCAGAACGAGAGGGATTATGCTGAACTCTGGGACCTATAGAGACTTCGATCCCCACGGCCCTTGCGGACCCAGCGCCTACTTCAAGGTCTCCGACCGGGCTCCGGGCCCCAAGGACGGCGACGATAAGAAGATTGACATTCACGATTTCCTGCCCATCATGGACTTTGACGCGGAGCTGGCCAGCAACGAGGATGATGATGAGGACTTTGTGGTTGGGGAGTGGGGGGAGGACGATGATGATGATGGGGACATTGATGACGAGGAGCTGGTGGAGGATATAGCAGCGTTGGCGGCGCCGGATCTTGAGATTATGGATCTTGTGCTGAATGGGCATCATCTTATAGAGCAGTGAGATGGGATGGGGTGTTTGGGGTATCTGGCTCTTTTTTTTTCGGCTTTGTGTATTTTGTTCTAGCTTGTGTGTAATATCTACGACTATATATATACCGCGTTGGTAATAGATACCGTATGTTTACACCCAACATCCTTCTCATCCGTACTCCTACATTCGCACTCCTCTCAAGAGAAACCCCCCCCCAAAGATACCAAATCACAGCTTGCTCACAGGATCAGTATTAAACTTGTGATGCTCACACGTAGCCAACACCACCCCGTCGCTCCGCCTCTTGAGGGTACCCCTGAGCTGGCACAGCGTCCGGCCAATCTGGACAATCTCGCACTCGACGAGGCACTCTTCGCCGTTGGGCGCGGGTCGGAGGTAGCTGCAGTTGATGGTGCGGGAGACGCCGAGGAACTGCCAGTAGCCCGGCTTATCGTTGACGAGGGCCAAGGGCAAGGTGGTGAGGGAGTCGAAGAGGGTGGCGGCGGCGCCGCCGTGGAGGTTGCCGGCGCGGTTGCAGTGCTCTGGGAGGACTGTGAAGGAGAAGGTGGCGCGCGGGGTGGGCGTGAGGGAGGTTGAGAGGAGGTTTATTGAGGGGATGAGGGCGCCCATCCAGTTCTGGGGGGTTGAAGTCTCATGTTAGCTGGTTGATGGTGGGTTTGTGTTTACTTGAGGTGAGATATGATGAGAAGAGAGGTAAAGGGACGTACGCCGAATTTGAAGTTGCCGGCGTCGTCCTTGTCGAGGTTGAGCCAGGCTTGTATGCGCTCTTCGCCTGCCTTGGCTTCGAAGACGGACTTGAACTGAGTTGGAATGCCCATGATGAACACAGTGTCGTCGTGTGAATTTGGGGTGTGAGTGTGAGTGAGAGTGAGAGTGAGAGTGAGAGTGAGATGAGCAAGTGAGTGTTGCTTGACGCTGATAGCGAGTCTGTCTCTATCTGATGGAAGAAAGATAAATCAAGTGAGGTAATCAATAGAGTGCTATGTCACGAATCATAACCAGAAGGCTACAAATGAACAGACAGGCAATCTATACATGAGCTTCCGTCTAAAATCAGAATGATTGAGTTGTTGATGCTGTGGTTCAACTGAGTTCGGTCGGGGGTTCGAATGGGTACTTCAGAAAAGGTACCCTTTCCACAGCAGATGGCCCCGCTGGCTTCCCCGGGTTCCTAGTCCCTCGGGACGCTAGGGGAACTGCCTCGGCAAACTCCTTCGGTACGTTCAACCTCCGACTTCTGACAAACCAACCGCCGACGATAAGATAACCAACCAGCAGACTTCCATTATCACCAACCCACCCGACACCTGATCCGTCATCGCCATGCCCAGATAACCCGCATCTCCCCCCCCCTTCGCATCCGCGCACCCGCAACAGAAACCATTGAGGGGATCGCCATCACATCAACCTCGATGCCCGCCCACCCTCGCCCACCATGGAGTTCATGACCGCCCTCCGGGGCTCCTTCGACGACCAGAAACCCTCCCTCTTCGAACTCATCTCCGAACAGCAGCTCAACTCCCTCCTCCCGCCCACCATCCGGTACCTCCTCACCGTCGCGACCCAACGATACCCGCGCTACCTCCTGCGCGCCCTCAACTCCTTCGATGAGCTCTACGCCCTGCTCATGCTCCTCGTCGAGCGCCACTACCTAAAGACCCGCGGCGGCAGCTTCACCGAGAACTTTTACGGCCTGAAGCGCGAAAAGGCCCTGCACGCCGAGATCCCGCGCGCCAGCGCCTCCGCGCCCGCCGTCGTCCGGGACACCCTCAAGCTCGGCACAAGAGACATATGGATGAACCTCGCCGTCGCCGTCGGCGTCCCTTACCTGCAGAGGAAGCTCGACGAAGGGTACGAGGTGAACGCGCCGCGGGCGCTGCTCGGCGCCGCCTATACCCAGATGCCGCCCAACCCGACGCTGAAGCAGCGCTTCCTGCACTACTACCGCTGGTTCCTGCGCAACATCTACCCGAGCGTCAACGCGGCCTACTACTTTGCGCTGCTGTCCTTCAACCTGGCCTACCTGTTTGACAACAGCAAGTACCACAACCCGTTCCTGTGGCTCATTGGCACCCGCATGAGGAGGATGACGGGCGCCGATTATCAGGCCATTGACGCGCTCACGAGCGGCGGCAGCGGCGGCAAGGCGACCGGCAAGCCGCCCGGGTGGAGATCCCTCTTCTCCCCGCGCGAGATGGGCCCGCGTGTGCTCTCCAGCCTGTCGTTGCTGCTACCCATGAGCATCTTTGCGCTCAAGTTTCTCGAGTGGTGGCACGCGTCGGACTTTGCTAAGCAGCTGTCGCGCAAGGCGTCCGAGACGCTGGACCTCCCGACCCCTGTGGTCTCGGGCTTGGGGACCGGCAAGGGAGGAGCTGGAAGAGCAGGCGCTGCCAAGAGCGGCGCCGAGACGGGCAAGGGCAAGGAGAAGGCGGCTAGTGGCGACGACGAGTCGGTGGACGCGGCTGTTCCGGCTGCTGAGACGGCGCCTATTGCGACGCCTTCGCTGCTGCCTATTTATACGGTGACTGCGCCTGAGGACTCTGCGTTGTGCCCTATTTGCGAGGACCCCATTGTCACGCCGACGGCGTGTCAGACGGGTATTGTATATTGCTACACGTGTATTCACCGCTGGGTGGAGGGTTTGCATCCCATGCAGGAGGACTTCATGGGGGACAAGGAGGGCAAGTGGGAGAGCGGACAGGGGCGGTGTGCGGTCACTGGCCGACGCGTTCTGGGAGGCACGGAGGGGCTGAGGAGGATCATGGTGTAAGACTAGGACAGCTATCGGGAGGGCATTTGAGGTTAGTAGTACGGACGTGTCAACGAGAAAAGTCGGGGAGCATTGATGGGAGGGATTGCTTGAAGGTGGTGGGCATAAGCCGAAAAAGGCCACGGCGTTTGGGTCATGAAGTTTGTCAAAAAAAATTTTGTTGCCCTTGTGCCATATAGACCATATGAATAATATACCCACTCATGATCTAGAGCGTCCGTGTTTCTTTTTCCTTTCTTTTTTTTTCCTTTCTTTTTTTTTTCCTTTCTTTTTGCTTTTCTGGCTCTGAGAAACTCGGAGGTGAAAACCCGATGGAAGCAAGGGTCGGACTTGAAGAATGCGGGACTTTGGATACCCTCCACCGATTGGAATGGAGGGGAGGATGTCTCACATCGGGGCCATGGTGGTCCCCACGCCCCCTCGATCCCTTTCTTCATGATCTGGCATTCGATACATGTTCTCTATTGGGTTTCACGTTTTTCTACCCATCCATCATGTGGTTTTGAGGACGGGTGAACGGTCTGCTGCTTCCACTTCTTTTGCCTCGGCGGCACCTCCTGTCTCGCCGTCAGGATGTCTCGGTCTGTAGAGCCTGCCACCAGCTCGGAGGTTTTACGGATAAAAGAACAAGGCAACTTGAAGTGAAGCTAGCGAAGCTTGCATTCCTCTTCTTTCCCCTTCTTCCTCGTCAACTTGCCATTTTTTCTTCTCCTACGGTGTTCTCCTTTGGGCGAAGGTCTTTGGTGGTTGGTTTCCTCGAAATGGATTACCTGGTATTGGATTCTCTGTCCTTTCCCACCAGACCGGTCTAGCTTTCTTGTACTTCTGGTCTTTGTCCTCCAAACTAGGTCAAGACTCATCTGGGCAAGTGCTTCTTGTGGAGAAGCAAACGTCACCTGTTCTAAACAGGTCTGCTTGAGGAGGCTGGGAGGGAGATGGACCTCGAGATCCTCGAAGCTTGGATAGGTCCTTGGCCAAAACGTGCGGTTGAGCAGTGGCATTCCTCGGTGGACTTGGGGGTTGCGATGGTGGTGGTGTGGTTCTCCGGTGGAGTAGGGTCAGACTCGGCTCATGAGTTGCCATCCAGTCGTTGAGGTTTCGCGCCTTTTTGGTGATAGCTGTGTACCTGGATCAGTCGCAAGGGAGATGTCGATGAGCAAAGGGTTTATAAGGAAACTACACCCCTTCTCAGAAGAGTCTCATGACATTTTTGGTTTCTGTTCCGATCATCGAAACTGAGTCGTGGTGTTTTCACTCTCCTTCTCTCTTTCTCTCTGTTTATCTGAATCAACCAGAGTCTCTCGTTGTTGTGTGTGCCCATCGGTTTCCGATCATCGATCACTGACGCACCCGATCTCTCTCGCTCTATTCAAGTTGTTACAGGGTTGTCACTTATACACTCTCTTCGATCCGGTAACGCGACAAAAAAGACAACAAAAGGCTCAAGAAGACACGAAGAACGCTGTAAAAGAATTGTGGGAGAGAAAGAGAAAGAGAAGCCAAGATGGCGTACAGCTTATCGCAGTCGTACTTTGGCGCGAACCTGATTTCAGACTTCAACTTTATCAACTATGCCGACCCATCCAACGGCTTCGTAAGGTACGTCTTTTGCCCCCATTAACAGAGATCGGTCTCAACCCTGTTGTTGTTGAATAGAGTTGGACGTAGATGAACTGACCGCAAGTATGTAACAAAAACAGGTATCAGAGCCAGCCCGACGCCCTCGCAAAGAGCCTCTACTTCATCGACCCGGACACGCAGGCCGTGACGCTGGGCGTGGACAACAAGAACACGTTCGTCCTCAGTGACGGACGGCCAAGTCTGAGACTGGAGAGCAAGAGGCAGTATAATCATGGGTTGTTCATCGGAGATTTCGCGCATATGCCGCCGTCGGTTTGTGGGTTGTGGCCAGCGTGTAAGTTTCAAACGTTTCTTCTGGTTATACATCTTTGTCGAATTTTGGGGGGACCAGACTCGCTGGAAGGGTGACGAACTACTTATTGGCTCATTGGCTGACATTGAATTGAACAGTCTGGATGTATGGACCGGATTGGCCTACAAGCGGAGAGATTGATATCATCGAGGGCGCGAACCAAGCTACGAAGAACATCATTTCCGGACACTCGTGAGTTCTCGTGGCCATACCACCTCGAAGATTGGGTCTAACACGAAAACCTAGTACGTCAGGATGCCGTATCCCAGATTCCCCCGCAGCCGCCGGCCAACCTCTCCTCCTCGACTGCGAAAGCCCAGGTGTACGTAATTTCCTCAACAAAGAACTCTCCCATCTTCGTACGTTCGTGATACGATTGTATCCTCTCTCGCTGACCACAAACGAAACAAAATAGACCACGAACAACGCCGGCTGCAACTACCTGCCCCCTGCCTCGGACACGCACACCTACGGAGACGCCTTCAACGCCGTCGGCGGCGGCGTCTACGCGCTCGAGTGGACCTCGGAGGCCATCAGCATCTGGCACTGGCCGCGGCAGAGCATCCCGGACGACATTGTCGCCAAGAACCCTGACCCCTCCAGCTGGGGATTGCCGTCTGCGCTGTTTGGGACGTCGACGTGTGATGTGGATACGTACTTTAAGGATATGAGTATTGTGATTCAGACGGTATGTTTCTTTTGCGCGAAGTTGGCGTAGGGGATATTTGCAAGCTACATTTGCTAACCCGTGAGATATGTATGTAGAACTTTTGCGGTGATTATGCTGCCAACATCTGGGGCAAGGATGGGGATACATGTAACCAGCGGGCGCCGACGTGCGTTGAGTACGTGGCGAACAACCCTACCGCATTCGCAAACGCGTAAGTCATCGAACCCTCTCGAGCATACTCTTGGAAATCTGACGAGAAGGGGGGGAAAAAAAGGTACTGGGAGGTAAACTACATCGACGTCTACGAACAAGGCCTCGCCACAAACACCACCGCCAGTCCGTCCGAACCGACAACGACGACGACGATAAAGTCCACATCGACAATCTACACCACGGTCCCGAACCCGGCCACCATCGTGACGAGCATCACGCACAACGGCACCGTCATCGTCTCCACCGCCACAGTGCAGTCCCAGGTATCGTCCGTCGTCTTGTCCACCGTCGTGGGACCGACCGCCACGGCACCTCCAAGCCCCTCGACGGACCCCTTGGTCCCGGAGCGCGAGCCCGCGACGATCGGGGAGTACGCGTACCTCGGCTGCTTCGGCTCCGGGACGGGGTTCCAAAGCTTTCTGCTAAAGGCCTCGGCGGCGGATATGACGCTGGGCAAGTGTATTGATCTCTGCAGGCCCGGGAAATACGCCGGTGTCCGTGAAAGGTAATAATGTCCCGGTGCCATCTCCATCTCATGTCAAATATCCCTCTTACTAACACACACCCTCTCAGCGAATGCTTCTGCGCAGACGACCTCGACCCAGACACCAGAGCAACGACAGACCGCGCCCTCTGCAACAGCCCCTGCCCAGGAAACAACACCCAACTCTGCGGCGGCACCACCACAACATCCCCCTCCAAAAAGCGAGACGCCGCCGTCTTACCGCCATCCTTCTCCTCCTCAAACCCTCACCGCAGCCGCGCGCTCATGCACCTCCACCTCCACCGCCGCGCCGCGCCCTCAACCTACCTCCTGACAGTCTACGGCCGCCTCACAGACGAAGTACCCCCCAACGCCCCGCCCCTAGGCGACTCGGAACCCCACGTACCCTCCACCTCGACGCTCGTGACGACGGTGACCTACACCACCGTCTGCGCGACCGACGCGGCGCGCCTGACGCACGCGGAGCACTGTACCACGATCCTGGTGCCGGGGTGCGACAAATACTGCGGTGATGGGATGTCCGCGGCGGTGAGCGTGCCGATGACGACGACGGTGGCTTCGTGTGCCGGGTGTGGTGCCGACGGCGCGGATAAGGTTACGCTTACGGTGCCGTTTTTCGTGATTGCGTTGCCCGGGACCGGAGCGGGGACGGCGACGGGGTATTGGCCCACTGGGCCCGGCGGTGGATCTATGACTGGTGCGGCGGCGACTCCGCCTGCGACGGGGAGACCCACCCCGTCCATGGTGTCTGTTAGTGCAGCGGCGTCCGTGGCGGAGGTGAACTTTGGGTGGGCTGTTGGGTTGGGGGTTGCTATTGCGGTTGTGCGGTTCACGTTGATGTTTTTCTGATGAATAGGGATTAATTGTGACCAAGAGGGCTGGTTCCTGGTGCATATTGGCGGCGCATTTGGTCTCTCTTTTTCCACCTCATCTTTTCTCTTTTGGTCCTTTCGTTGCTTTCTTTTATCCACCACACGTTCATTAGCATAGACATCGCCATGATACCACACCAGCGCAACGGGCGCACTGCCTTCTTACATTTTAGTTGTTATACAGAAAATCCTCATTATTCTAAGTCATGATTTTACGCTTTGTTTTATTACAAGTCCACCACTTCCACCGGGTTCCCCAGCCGCCCCGTGTTGCCGTACATTTGCGCGGCGTTGACCATGAGACTGCTGGTGTTGCCGCCGGGCCCGACCATGAGCCACTTCCAGACGACGCCGTGGATGCCGTAGCCAAGGACGGCGAGGGCGTCCCGCCAGCCGGCGTGGGGGAAGAGGTCGCGAAAGAGGCCGCGGGGCGGGCGGGACATGAGGGCCTCGTAGGCGCGCTGGCAGTCGTCAAAGTGCACTGTTTGACGGCCGTGGCCCCAGTGGACGTGGCCAAAGACGTGGAGTTTGGGGCGGACGCGCCAGACTTCTTGGAGGAGGGCTGGGCAGCCTAGGTTTAGGTCTAGGTGGGTTTTCTGGTGGCGCGTGTTAATCAGATGAGTGAGTTTTGAAGGGGGAGGGGGGGGGGGTGAATGAGATGAAGTGAGATAGGATGAGATGAGATTGAAATGAGACTGAAATGAGATTTGGACTTACTGGTGGTGTGTGAGTGATCAAAATGTCAGTGTCGATTGGTACGGTGTTGGTCCAGGGCGGTGATGAACGATCATACTGGAAAGCCATCTCTGAGCCGCCGCAGGTCGGGATATCAGGGGCGCCGTAAATCTTTAGATGGCGACCGCCCTTGAACTCCAGCGTGACGGCATCGCGGATGAGATAGCGGACGCCCTTGAAATCGAGGCTCTTACCACGGTCCTCGGGCAGACGGGCGCTGGGATCGAAGAAGCTGTCGTGATTGCCGCAGACGAGGATCTTGTGCTGGTGGGGTTGAGCGGCGAGCCAGTCGAGCTGGGCTTGGATGTCGGCGGCGGTGCCGGCGTTGGTGAGGTCGCCGGCGTGGATGAGGAGGTCGCCGGGGGGAATGTCGACGTCGGTGCGGTCGTGGGTGTCTGAGAGGCAGACGATGCGGATGGCGGGCTTGTCGCGGGGCGGGGTGAAGGGGCGGCCACGGAGGAAGAGGATGATGCTGTAGATGATTGTGACGAGGAGGTTGAGGGGTGAGAGGAGGAGGGCGTCGATGAGGGTTAGGGGTTCCCAGGGGTTTTTGCGGCGGAGGCCGACGGCTGTGAGGAGAGTCATTTGGAGGTTGTGGCCGTCGGTGTCCCTGTGAGTGGGGTGTTGGATGGAGGGTCACCGGGGTTATACGACTTCCATGTGAGCTGTTGTGCGAGGTGAGTGAGATTGGCGATGTGAATTGAGGTGAGATACGGCGAGGTGAGGTTGAACTCTGGAGTGGTGTTGAGGTTGGTTGGCCGGACGGATCTTCACATGGGGGGGGGGGGGCGGGGGCAGAGAGAGCTCCAAGCAGCTCGCAGCTGAAACCCCACCGATGACAGCACCAGCCAGCACTTGTGCAATCCAATGACATGCCACGGGGGTCATTGCCAGTGGTCTAGGGGGGACTGGACGTTCAGAGGTGGGCCGGCCGGCAGCTGGCACGGCGGCGGTTCAGCTATGCTGGGGGGGGGAAGTGGTGGAGGGGGCAGACCGGGGCAGCACGAGCCACACACCACCATTGTCACTGCAACAGTGTTTTAGTGGTGAGTGCTACCTTACCTTAGGTACCTTAAGGTGTGAAGTACTCCGTAGACGACATTTCCCAGCGACACGGCAGCGCCAATCCATGTTTGGCGTAGCGGTGGTGGGGATCGACTGGCGGGCAACCGGAGGCATTGAGGGGCTGGAGCTTGTTCCCTGAAAAGAAAAAAAAAGCTCCCCGGCCAAGTCGAGGCCCTGCGCGGTGACGTGACGGTTCCCTCAATCCCGCCAGCCAAACGCCCAAGCTCTCCTCTCTCTACTTCTCTCCCGGCCGGTTCATCTAAAAAACCTGCCAAGCGAGACATCACCGTCATTACTTTCAGCCACTTGGCTACATTATCCCATTTGGCTTTAAGACCATCGCGACCCCTACTACCTTACTTACGTCTCTCTTATCGTGATCCCGTCACTCTCGAGCATTTGGATAGCTCGCATACCTTGTCTCACAAGTGCATCCCATCTCTATCTACGACTTCATCATCCAAAACCTCCTAGGACCTGCACCTGCACACACGGCATCCGTGCTCGAGCTCCCGACGACTGATCTATTTGGGACGAACTCGCGGCCCGCAGCAGCCATGGCGAGTCTTCGCGACCTTTACAGCGATGAGAAGACCAAGGGTCTAGACACCAACTTTGGCGTCGACTATGTCATCAACTACAAGATCCCGTCAGAGGGTGAGCCCCCCCTTTTACCTCTACGTATCGAGCCTACCTTAAACTGACCAACACCTGCTCAGACCGCGCCAGCGCCGAAGCTTCTTTCGTTCAACTCATCGAGGCTCTGACCCATGTTGGCCTGACCACCGAGGTCCGGAGAGGCGACAAAAGCTCCGTTCTCGTCTTCATCAAGATCGCCGACAAGTTCCTCGCCGACCAAGTCTACCGATCCAGACTCCAAGACTGGCTACAGGGCGCTCGAACCAACACCGCGGACAAGGACCTCTCCCAGGCCCTCCGCGATGAGCCCGTCTCCGATGCAGAACGCCTGCGCCTTGTATACCTGCTCATGGTGAAGCCCAAGAACGAGGGCGGAGCCGGCATTACCCCCGAGTCTGGCAAGTGGAAGCATGTCGCCAGCATCTTCCCCCTCCACAACCACTCCTTCAACCGCCAGTGGATCAAGAGGGTGAGCACAAAGGGCCAGACGGACGAGAATGACCTCGACGAGATTCGTGATAAGTTCGGCGAGAGCGTCGCATTCTACTTCGCCTTCATGCAGACCTACTTCAAGTTCCTCACCGTCCCCGCCGCCGTCGGCTTTGGTGCTTGGATGTTCCTTGGCCAGTTCTCCTGGCTCTATGCTCTGGTCAGTTGCCTGTGGTCCGTCATCTTCTTCGAGTTCTGGAAGCAAAGGGAAGTCGACCTTGCCGTGCAGTGGGGCGTCCGCGGCGTCTCCAACATCCAGCACCCCCGGCCGCAGTTCGAGTTCGAGCGCCAGGCCGAGGATCCCATTACCGGAGAGCCCGTCAAGTTTTACTCGCCCATCAAGCGGTTGCAGACGCAGCTTCTCCAGATCCCGTTCGCGGCAGCGTGCATCGTGGTGCTCGGCACCCTCATTGTAACCTGCAACTCGCTGGAAATCTTCATCAACGAGGTGTACAACGGACCTTTCCAATCCTACTTGGCCTTCCTCCCAACCGTCATCCTGGTAGTCATGACGCCCACCTTTTCTACCGTGCTCACCAAGTTCGCGACGAGATTGACCGAGATGGAAAACTACGAAACAATTGACGCACACCACGCGGCCTTGGTGCAGAAGGAGTTCGTTCTCAACTTCCTGACCTCCTACATGGCCCTGTTCTTCACCACCTTTGTCTACCTGCCCTTTGGCGACCACCTCACTCCTTACCTCGACTTCTGGCGGACTACTGCGCAGAAGATCACCCCCAAGGACGTCAACTTCCAGACTCAGGAGTTCTCCATTAACCCCGAGAGGATCAGCAAGCAAATGTTTTACTTCACCGTCACCGCTCAGGTCGTCAACTTCGCCACCGAGGTCATTGTGCCGTACGTCAAGCGCCAGGTGTTCCAGGAGGTTAGAGAGGTGCAGTCTAAGATGTCCAAGGAGGACAGCGCCGCCAAGATCAAGGACCAGCCGGAAGAGGCCGCCTTCTTGGAGCGTGTGAGGAACGAAGCCGAGCTCGAGACGTACGATGTCACCGGAGACTACCGAGAGATGGTCATCCAGTTCGGTTACCTATCGCTCTTCTCCGTGGCCTGGCCTTTGACTGCTTGCTGCTTCCTTGTCAACAACTGGGTCGAAATGCGATCGGACGCTGTCAAGATTGCCATTAGCAGCAGGCGGCCGATTCCGTGGCGCGCCGACTCGATCGGGCCCTGGCTCAACGCCCTCGGATTTCTGTCTTGGTTGGGCAGCATCACCAGCGCCTCGATCGTGTTCCTGTGCAGATCTGCTGGCAAGGGCGATGGACCTCGCGGAACCCCTGGAAAACAGGCATGGGGGCTCCTCCTCAGCATCCTCCTCTCGGAGCACTTCTACTTTGGCGCGCAATTCGTTGTTCGCCTCGTCATGAAGAAGCTGGACAGCCCGGGCCTGCAGAGGGAGAAGAAGGAGCGTTTCATGATGAAGAAGAGACTGCTCGAGGAAAACCTGGGCCAGGGCGTTTCGGATCAGGCCGCGACTCCGGGTATCGAGAAGACGGAGATGATCACCATGCAGGCTCTTGAGGATGAGGCCCGCAGGATCTCCACGCAAGGCCACGGAGGCGACGAGGAAGCGTAAGTTGATGTTCTAGCCCTTGATGTCGAAGACTTGAGCTGACGACTGTACAGATTCTGGCTTCGCCAACGCGGTATGGCCGAGACCATCCAGATTGGCCGCAACCTGATCTCTCAGGTAAGTCGCTGTACACTTTGATTGTTAGTGTTATCTTCTGACATTGAGTCCTCAGAGCATCACTGGAAATACGACCAAGGCGTAAAGGCCGCTGTCAACGGTTGATCAAGAGACGGGCTGATGGATAAGAAACAAAGCACACACACTACCCCCTCATTGATGAGAATATGAGTCATGCTTGTTCTGGCGTGTATTGCTAGCGAATATGTTTTAATCGGGTGTTCCGAAAAAGCTGTGGGGTATCTGCTGCGTGTAATCGGGCGTTTATTTCGGTCAAAACAAGAATGAGGCAAACCTTTGAATGTTTGTTTGTTCGGTGAAGAAAGATGGAGCAGGTGTGATGTGGCCCGTCGGTGGCCGCATGTGGTGACCGACTGAGATAAGGTATGCCGTCAAATTGTTCCTGACCTGACCTTTGTTACTCAGTAATACCTCGTAATGAGTGGGCAGATGACCATTTGAAACAAACTACGCACCGGGCGAGGCAGACCGGGAGGCTTAAGCAGCCGGGCGTAGTCTTGTACAATGATCCAAATGCTTGTTAGAACCTCTTTACTTTAACAGGTAACGTCGATGGGCCTAATACTGAACTGCGCCTCTGCGCTAGCTGTGCTGGACCTCGTGGCTGCAGCGTTCATCTGATGAGCCTACCTTACCTTAAGTACTTGCTTATTCAGTATGTACGTACCCACCTGGTGGACTTGGTACGTTGTTCGCTTACAACCGTCCTCCCCTCCCCTGCCAAACGTCTCTCTTCCCTCAATACCTACCAGCAAACTCCGTCACGCCCGCGACATTCCTTTCGCTTGAGAAACACCAATCGCGGAGCCTGCTTCAGGAATGTGCCACGCCGATGGAGCCAAATGGGTCTGCCTGGGGGAAGTTCTGAAGGCTAGCAGCGACAGCTAAGCAGCCCTACCTCGGGCCCAAGATGCCAGAACGCCTCCTCCTCCTTTGGCGCTTCTCCTCCACCCCCCCTCAACGTTGGAACATGCAGCAGACATGTTGACCTCTTTTCATCGCCCGCCATGCCGATCCCCTCGAGAGACTAGCCTGATACCGGGGCGAGATTCACCTGCATTCGCTTGCAAAGGTGGGCGCAACAAGCACCGCACCGCCTTGCCCCGCTTGTCAACTTTCAAGACCTGACTGGAACTGGAAGTGCGGCGGCGTTCCGAGAAGCAAGCCACGCCCGTTGGCTACCGGTGACTATTTGCCCTCGCACCCTCGTTCGAGGTATCTCTGGAGTGACAGACAGACGGACAGCCCAGAGGTGCGCTTCGTGTCTCGGGAGAGAGAGGCCAGTCTGACATGCGGTGCGCCCTGCATCTGCCTACCTTACCTTGCCCGCCAGCCGCCCATCCCCAATCCCATCCCGTCCCCTCCTGTGTGCCATACCATGCCACGATGCTCATCTATCCTGCGGCCTGGAGCTGGCCCTGGTTTCTTGGTGACTCTGAGCGAAGCCGACTAATTGATCTGCTCAGCTCAGCTTAGTAGCTTTTCTACAGCCTTGTCCTATCCTTTCCTGTCGTCCTCTTTGCATTTCCTCTCTCTCTCTCTCTCTCTCTCTCTCTCTCTCTCTCTCTCCCTCTCTCTCTCTCTCTCTCTCTCCTCTCTTCTTCCTCTCACATTTTCTGCCAAGATCTATTCTCCAAAGTTTCTGTGACTGTGAACCCCCAAAGAACACTTGGCGATTGCGCAAGTTCAGATCCAAACTTGCTACTCGGATGACCCTCTGTCAGCTTGTCGCGCTGGCTTAGCCCATCGTGTGTACCTATAACCAAACCAAACCGACGACTCCACCTAAACCCCGCCGCCCGCCAGGAGACCGAGACGAGAACGACTGCAACCTCCCCCGGTAGGACTTGACGGGTTCCCTTTGCCGACCATGGACGTCGTAAAGGACTTGGTGACTGGGCCGTTTCAGGAGGTCGTGGAGAAGGGGACCGTTGCGCTCGGGAACGCGGGCGACGACCGGGACATGCTCTCCGAGAGCCAGAAGCTGGTCAAGGGCGCCGAGCGCGTCCTCAAGATTATTGAGCCGCTGTGCTTGCGCCACTTGGAGGAGTCTGGCGTCAACTTTATAGATGCGCTCAAAGATAATAGTATGATTGTTTCCGTCTTTTTCTTCCCACTTTTTCCATCTGGTGAAATTGTTAACTGACTGACCTTTATTTGTGTAGACGAGATCGCGGAGTCTAGGTCACAGATGACTGACATGATCTGGGACTTTGAAGACGTAATCGATGCAGAAACATTTGAAAAGGAAAAGTACGTTGAGCTGCGGGAGCTCTGCAAGAGGGCCGGCCTCCGGACCGGGGAGATCTTGAAGAGGATGAGGCTGGAGCCGGCGCCGCGGGAGCAGCCTCTCATTCCCATTATCGCGACATCGCCACCGGCTACCCACGGTAACTAAATCCATTACCCCCTGGACTGAAACATGAGGAAAGAAACCATAGCTGATCAAAGATTCCCTCGACACTAGAGACCCAAGATCAAAGCCACGCAAGTCTAACTACATCCCACGAGGGACAAAATCACTTCCAGGTACAGCCACACGAAGAGCAACACGTACTACCCGAGCCGGAGCCAAGAGTCAGAGAGGAGGTCATCGAGCAGCAGCCGCCGCCGCCTCCCCCGACGAATCCATGGAGTATAGGAGCAAGCCCCGTGATCGAGACAGGACTGGAGGAGCCAATGGGCGGAATCAATATTGAGCGCCGTCGGCCCGTTTCCGTGAGCTCTCCCATCTCTGAGCCGGGCAGCCCCAAAGATATGAGCAGACTCTCGCACGGCTCGGATCGCCGGCTCGAAATCCCCACCGACCGCGTCCTCTCGGAAGAAGAGCGGTACCACCAAATGAGCCCGCAGGACCTCACGCGATCCCCGGTCTCAATAACGGACAGGAGCCATCCCCTCGTTTCGCGCGGGCGAGCGTCGTCTACAACGCTAGGTATCGTCACGGAAGACCAGACGCAGACCCCGCGGAACGGCGGCCACTCCCCGCGGCCGCACCGGCACTCGCAATCCAGCTCAATGTACTCGCACGCCTCCCGCCAACGCTCCCAAGAATCCCTCCACGATTCCGTATTCGACGGCGGCAGGAGGAACTCTGGCGCCATCAGCCCCTCCATGACGGAGCACCGCGCCTCCACGTCCTCGACCCACGACGGGGGCCGGCTCAGCCCGACGTCGAGGCCGCCCATCATCCCGCCCAACTTCCCACCCGGTGTCCACGAGGGCATCGAGAGGGTGCCCCTGATCACGAGCGACGGCGAGGGGCTAATCCCCGTCGAGTCGGAGTCGTCGACTTCGCAGGGGAGGGAGCCGCTCTTTCAGGTCTCGTCCCGGCCAAAGGATTGTAATATCGGGTTGAGCAGCTCATTTTATCTGTACAAGGGTTTCTGCGAGGGTGCCAAGGAGGTTACCCGCGGAGGTCTCGGTGTTAAAAAGATTAAGAAACCAGTGAGTCGCCAGTGTCCCAACCACCCCTTTTCTTTTTTTACAGTAAACATGGATTAACTCTAGCTATAAGGGATTCTCGGGCGCCCACGAGGTCGCCAAGTGCTCGAGCTGCTCGTTCGAGCTCGACTTCAAACAGGTTGAAAACGACGTCAACAACGCCGGTACGTGCTCAGCTCTCTCTCTCTCTCTCTCTCTCTCCATCCCTGATGTTCGACTTGAATCGAAGGAGAGTTTCACTAATAATGCGCAACCTCTAGAGGAAGCAAACCACCACTCCAACAAAATCTCCTACCGCCCCCGCTTCCTCCAAAAATCCCACGTCGCCACTAAACGCGCAGACGAATTCCTCTACGGCTGCGTCTTCTGCGTCCACGCCCAAAACACCCTCGAAGAATGCGACGCCACAGTCTTCTTCAGCCAAAAGAAGCTGTTCGAGCACCTCGCTCGGCACCCGCGACCGTTACCGCAAGTACCCGGCATCACAGTGGTAGAGACATCAGAGACCACCGGCGGCGGCGAAGTCCCGCTCCACCTGCGCAACAACTACGACCTGCACTTCCGCGCCCCGCCGCGTCCTTCGCGCATCGAGGGCCGGCAGCTTGAGCTGGCGCAGCTGCCGACGGCGACGGCGACGCAGACTGTCAAGAGGATGTATGGGATGCGGCTGTTGTATGATAACACGCCTGGGTTTGAGCTTGCTAATGGCGCGCGGTTGAGCGGGGTGGAGTTCCCGGCCAAGTATAATGGAGAGTGGGTGATGGGGTGGCATGAGGGGAATTTCGGGTCGGCGCCGCTGGATGTTTTGAAGTTGGAGGCGCCGCCCAAGGGGGAGATTCGTGCGGATACGGGGAGTAATATCTCGGCGGTGGCGAGGTGGAAGTTTGCGCCTAGGGCGAAGGATGGGGGGGATTGGTTGAAGTTTGATCAGGGGGAGAGGATCACCAACATTAGCTGTGAGTTTCCATTTCCCTTCTTTGCGCTGCCCCCTTTTTCTTCTTCCTTTTCTTTTTTGGCTGGAAGTTTGTTGTTAATGGAAGGTGCGGAAGACTTTGGTTTTGCTAACACGAGAAAATCCAGGGGCATGGCAAGATCACTGGTGCTGGTCCGGCACCAATGCCAAGGGCGTCTGGGGCATCTTCCCGCAGACATTCATCGACAGCACTTCGATCCGCGAGGTTTCGGATAGGTCGAGCATCTCGAGCGGGGAGAGGAGGAAGTCCGGAACCGCGGGCTTTTTTGAGAGGTTCTCTTCCGGCAGGAAGGCGTCGAGGCAGTCGAGCGTTGGGCATGTTATGGTTTCGTCTGGGCCGCGGCCTTCGGTTGTGTGAAGAGAGACAAGGGTTTTGGGTTTGATTGGTGGATGGACTGTGATACAGAACATGATGTGACGGGAATTGTTTCCTCTGTGGGATTTTCCTATGTTGATGAAGATACCTTTTTGGGGGCTTTTTAGGAGTTTTCAATACCCAGTAACGATTGAAAGATGGAAACGGCCATTTGGCGTCACCGGTAGAGGTGCCCTACTTTGCGTACCCAGTCTCGAATACTGTGACTAGTAGTCCGTGATAACCATATAGTGAGACTTGTAGGGACATCAAAGGCTTCTGCCATGTACTAACCCTGTCTGGGGTCTCTTGTACTGAGCCAAGAGCAACCGAAATGTTTACAGCTTTGACAGCGCCTACCACATAATCTACAGCAACACGGAGCTCCTGCTTAATCTAGCATAGAGGTTCCCCAGAAACCGTTCGAGGCGTGAGTCTGGGATGTACACTGTCCTGGTACACGACGGCGTCGAAGTTGGCTGGCCACTGGGTCAAGTCGGAGTAGTAAAAAGCTCCAGTGTAAAGAGCAGCTTTACATAGATACTATCCAACACCCAGTCTCACTAGCTTATTCTAGGATTAATATGCCGCCATGGTGGAGGATGACTGAGGGGATGGAGGCTGATTTGGTGGAAACAAACGCTACCAGCCACGCATTAACGTATCGATCTTAATATAACGTCCTTGCATTTGCCATTCACACTTTCACCATCTGCTCGGGAGCGCCCGGTCATCATTCATTCATTGCTAAGCTTGGTTACTACGAACATGTCGACTTATATACTATTGATGAGGTACCTCCGGCATCGTTCCCGCCGCCGCAACTACTTCATCAAGTATAAATAAGGAAGCAGTGTAGCGCACCAAGTTGGCTCATCAGCGCGACATGCTTCGATAACATGTTTTGGGCGGTCACAGCTGAGTCTGGTTCTCTGCAACCAAGGCATGGGCTTTATTCTCTTGGGTCTTGCGGTGATATCAGTCTTATTTTTAGGTCTGCCTTGGGTATGCCTACCTCGAGCAACTGTACCTTGCGAAACCATACTCTTTCCCAATCTTCAGCGCCCCGAATATATTCCGAGATCAATATACTTCAGTGTACGAAAGATGTAGAAGAGCTAGGATAAGTGTATACACTACATCATCGCCTTACATTCCCTCCCCGTAAAGCAAGTATGCTCCAGAACGAAAGTGAAGCTCAAGAATACATGGCTGCCCTCACGATCTTCTGGAACCAAATGAATGAGGAAGAAGACAGAAAAACATCATCGCCTTCCACTTTGCGAAATAAATAGTCTCGACAGATCCGGTTTCGACGTGTACTGGCACAATATCCATATTAGGGGCTGGCCAAATTTGGTCAGTGTCGATCAATCCTCGTACACGTTCATCTGATTCTCATCTTCAGAATGATTCCGAAGCTGCCTAGACTTCTTGGATGTCTAAGGAGCCTTTTTGTGCTTTCCACTACCGGCATACTTACGAAGAACACTAACATCCTACGCCTTTCCGTTTGCTCAAGTCACGAACATAAAAAGGAATTCGGTCACAAACCACTATGAACCGTACTTCTTTCTTCATTGGTCTCATCTGCTCTGACCTGTACCGTCCAGTCTTTCCTCGGCACATAGGCATCGATCCAATCCAAACCAAATCCGTCTGCCCCAACCAACGGCCGTTAAGCGAAGCTAGCTTTCTCAATCTCTTCGCATGTAAATATATGATGATTAAAGCTACAGGTCGAAACCAAAATACCAGAAAACAAAAAGGGGGGACAACCCCCCCCCCCCCCCCCATTTGAGGTTTTCTTCATGCGCGCCATATATCCATCAACCCAATCCACCCTGGAATCGGACCCCCCCCCCCCCCCCCCCTTCCAACAAATGCTTCGCTATGCTGATACTTCTGTACACTCTGTACTGTGATGATTCTTTTTCTCTCTCTGCAGGGATTTGTGTGTGTTGTGCTGCTGTTGTTGATATTTGCCTCCGCATCCAATCAATTCCATCCCGTCCATCATTCCCATTATCATCTCGGCCCTGCTAACATGCTTTCATTCTTCCTTCATAGACGACTTCTCCTCGTGGGGCTGATTCTTTCTTCATGGGCGATCATCACCCCAGGCCTTGGCCGCTTCAGCCGCAGCTTCCGCAGCTTCCGCAGCAGCCGCCGTCGCCCTAGATTCCTCCACTTCGTCCTCCTCATCATCGCTCCCCTGCTGTTGTGGCTGTTGCGCTTTAGTCGGTAGAGCGCTCGCGGCCGAAGCTGGGATAGAATCTCCCTTCTTCTCCTCTCCACGAGCCTCAGAAGCCACTGTCCTAACGGTGCTGTTATCCCCGCCATTCAACTTGCCATCGGCCCCAGGCGTAGCCGCCTCGGTAACCACCTTCGCGGGCGGCGCGACCCCATCCTTTGACTCTGGCCTCGCGTAACCCGTAGGCGTTTCCGACTCAATCGACCCCGTCGACAGAATCGACTCGGTATACGACCCCTGCGTCAGCGGCTGGAAATCATGCTTCTCCCCATGCGGCCTCTTATCATTAATCTCCGTCCCCGCAGACGAAGTAGACATGCGCGACCCCGAGATCGAAACAGAGTCCCTGTCGCCGTTACCAGCCTTACTGGCGTCCGTCTTGGACTTGCCCCATCCGCGGCCCCAGCCGTAGCCTCCGCTGGTACTCGTCGTCGGCGACGTCACGGTGCTGTTCCCGCCACCGCTGCCGCCACCCCACCCGGCCTTGCGTTTCTCGCCCGCCCAGGTGACCCACGAACTCACGTACGAGCTGGCTTTGCCAGAGTTCCCCGGCGCCTTGGCGGCTCCCGCCTCCGTTGACGCAGCAGAGGCGGCGGGCGCGCCGGCCTTCTCGGCCTCCGCGGCAGCAGCTTCCTGGGCCAGGCGCTGCTCCTCGGCCCGTTTCCTCTGCGCCTCGCGGAGCGCTTCCAGGTCAGAATAAAATTTGTTAAACATGTTGGACGCCTTCTCCTTGCCCACGGCAAAGTTGCGTCCGAGGACTTCCTTGCCGACGGCGAGACGCTCGTCTAGGTGCATGTCCTGGACTTGCTGGGCGATGCGGCGCTGCACGTCGTCAATCGTAAGACCGCCGGCGCAGGGGTGCCGCGGCTCGACGACGTCAAAGAGGTGGGAATCCGTGTTGCCGTTCCAGATGCGGTGGTTTTCGGTGCGGGACCAGTATTCGATGAATTCGTTTCCGTAGTCGAGGGAGGGGTCGCCTTCAATGTGCGGGAGGAGCGCACGTGGGTTGTTCGGGTTCGCGTGGAGATGATTGCGGTATTTCACCGAGGAGACGAGAGATAGTATATACTCTTCAAACTGGAGCCGGATAAACTCCTCGCTACCGACGTAGCCCATGGTGTTTGGACGCTGGGGGTTGGCGTCGTCCCAAGTGTCATTAACTACTTGGGTGATGTAGTCGATCCAGCGGCGGTCTGCGGCCGACAACGCCAGGGCGTTTTTGAGAGAGGAGGAGGTAACATTGACGGTGTGCTCGTCGAGATTAATTAGGATATCGCTGTAACGGTCCCTCTGCTGCAGGAGAAGCGAGTTCGTGCTGCCAACAATGTATGACTTGGTGCCAAAGTCGGCGAGAATGTCAAGTTGCTGCAGAGGGGTATATGGACCAAACAGACTGCCCTGTTCATGTCGTCAGTTGGGAGTCCTCAGCTAGGACAGTGACAAACATACCTTGCCGAAAATCTGCAGGGGCAAGCCCATGTATGTGAGCAAAGAGTTACGATCGCTGGTCCGCAAGCTTGTGGGCCGCGCCAACCTCTTCTCGTAGTTATTCAGCTCCGGATCGGCGCAGTCGACGAGGTTACGAATAAGTCCGGGTATCAGAGAAATAAGAGAAAACTGCATCATGCACAACCTTTCACATCGTGATCCGAAAAAGAGCATCTGCACTCATTGGTTAGCTCCCAATACGAAATGTCTGCCATTTGAGCAGAGAAAAACGCACCTTTGGCTGCAGCAAACAACACTTGAACAGCATCAGCGTCTGCGACTTGAACTCGTGCACCAGCTCACGCAAGCTCATGCCGAGGTACTGGTCACGGCTCTCCTCCTCTGTCAAGAACCCGCGCTCCTTCTCCTCGGCCAGACTCTCCTGGAAGCGGCGCAGGATCTCCGTGTCGGTGAACTCGCGCTGCGCAAACCAGGCCTGCGTGACGACACTGAGACGCTCACGCATCATGCCAAAGTGCTGCGGCGTGTCGGCGATGACGACGACGGCTTTCTGGACCGTCGAGCGCGTGACGTCGGCGGGCCGATTCAGGAGCTGCGAGGCATCGAGCTGTCGTGTGCAGGATATGCCGAACAGGGACGTTGCAGGCCCCGTGGCGGTGGCCGGACGGAGAAGCGTAAAGTAGGAGAAGTCCTCGCTTGATCTGGTCCCGGTTATTAGTTTCTGGTCCTACTCTAAGATGTACGTAGCGACTGGGCTCTAAGCAGAGCTTCGGGTCACCGGCTGCACTACGATGAACAGGGGTGATACTCACAAATGCGCACCATCGCTCAACGCCATGAAGGGCAGCAAGCCCCAGTCGTACTCGACTGCCGGATCGGTACCCTCCGCCGCGCCAAACCACATCTCAACTTCGGGTCCGCGGGCATGGTGGAAGTCGACAACCGTTACCAGCGGAATAAAGTCTGGCTTGGCCGGCGTTGACGGCACGGTCAAGGGCGTAGCGGCGCCGGACGTCGGCGTCGCAACCTCGGGCGTATCCATGTTTCCCTCCTTTTGATCGTGTCTGCCTCTGTCTGGGTGGTGCGTTTTACGGACGAGGGGTGTGCATGCGTCGAATTTGCCGTTCGCGTAAGAAACTAGGTCTGGGTTGCTTCGGAAAATCGCCCAATTCCTTCACGAATCCCTTAATTTGTGTTCGTAATTCGACTTCTTTGGCGCAACGAGGCCCACTCCTACGACATTGCCATGTATTTCCTCGATTCCTAGTCTTTGGTTTGCTTCTCTTTCACCAGTCCTCCTCGCACGTTTCCTCGCAAGTTTTGTTGCGTGGGTCAATCCTTTTTCCCTTTCGGTCTGCGATTTGCCGCTTCGCTGGCAAAGCCACGCGTTGGGAGGGAAGCTCTTCCGTCGGCGTCGAATTATCTCGGGGCGGGCGTGACGTTCGTCTTTGTGGTGAACTAACTCGACACCCCCCAAAAAATGTCGAGGAGGGGTTGCGGGTTTCTCTTCTGACGTAGTATCGAGATTTCCCCGTCCACTCAAAGGGGGGGGGGGGGTTAGTGTGAGACAAGCCGCCGGGAAAAGTTGATCTGCACAAAGTCTCCGTGAGCAAGCAATTGGCGGGTTTCGGTTATCGTCCTCTATACGAAGAATTGGTCGTCAAGGAAGGTCGAGAGCAATGTGACTCTCCAATTGTGGGATTATTTAGGAAGGACAGCTTCTATACCGCCTTCGTTTTCGTCCCTCCTCGAAATCGGCCGGCAAGCTATCTCTGGCGTTGCCACGCAAAAGCTCGCAGAAAGCGGTGACGAGTTCTGTCCCTCTCGAAAGAGCGCGGTCGCGGGCGCGCGAATGGGCGTACGTGGGACTGTGAGCTGGGAAATCGGGTCGTACCGCTGTGCAGTTTGCCTCGGTGATTCGACCGCCGCCTCGTAGTTGCACTGGCGAATTAGGGTCTCAGGAAGGACGTTTGGTAGTAGCCGTAAGAATGAGCGGTCGGGCCTGCTAATACGAAGTGTCGAATGGCGGAGAGAACAATTCGCCGCCTCCTTTCGGTGGGAAAAGCTAAAGGTAAGGAAGACACGAGTGGCAGACCGACGAGCGGAAGAGGGTAAAAGTAAGGAAGATGGAAACCGAGGAGCTGAGGGGAGGAGACTCGAATGCTTTCCCACCCACACAGCACGGATGTTCGCGGTGTGGGTTCGCGGTAAGGTAGGCTTTGTATTGGACGGAGGCGGGCAACGATACAAAATGAGACTGGGTTCGGGAGAGTGGGCTTGTGGATGAGTTGTTGGAATTAGTGCTAATGCACTACGGCAAAAAAGTATAGTAAAATACTTTATTACTACTTCCAGTCTCTTCCCACTCTCATTGTAATTTCCTTGCCGTCTACTCCTCGATTCTCATTTGCTCATCTGGCTTTTCTGTTTTTGTTTTCTGCCCGCGTTTTATCAGAATGCTCTTATGCGGACACGGGACCCCTTAAAAATAGAGTCAAGTACAAAAGTCCAGACAGGACAATTGTCGGGGATGGGTTGCAATTAAAACGAACGACTCGTCCCTCATTGAAAAAAAGCACGACAGGTTCAGGGGTTCGAGATTCCAGCGAGATTCCAGCGAGGTTCGAGAACAATGGGGGGGGAGGAGAGTAGAAAAATAGGGAACAACACCTCAGAGAAAAAGCCGACTACGGGAACCCCGTGTGGCCCCCGGTTCGAGAACAAATGCCACTCAGATATCCGTCTCAAGGCAAGATACGTTACGGGGGGGGGGGGCCGGGGTTTTCTCTTTTTTTTTTTCTTTTTTTCTTTTGGAAATGCACGCTGTCACGCACACACAGACATCTTCACTCAGCACCAGCCGACGCGGTAAATATTCAACGGCTGGAAGTCGATTACCGACGTGAATCGTTCTTTGACACTCTGCTGTAGCCACTTAGTCTTGACCAGGGGGGATTTGCAAGCCAATATCGCGGCGGGGGGAGCAATCGAACACCCCTCCCAGAGTCCCATGGAAGTCATCGTCAGTCTTCACTTGTAGAACAACAACCTCACAACTGACAATAACAAGAAGAGCACACAACACTAGCCAAGCAGACCATGTAGACACTCGTTATCTCCAGACCATTAACACCCCTTCCCAAACCCCATCCTCCTACCAGTCTAGCGTCAAGGGCCGGACATCGAACGTCTGTGTGTCCGGTCGTGTGGTCCACCACAGACACGTCAACCATGCGTGCCATGCACCGAAGGAAAAGAAAAGCACCGACCACGTCTTTTCTATCCGTCACCACCAATCCCACATGGCACGTCCCTATCAATCACGATTCACGACTTCACTAGTCACAATCGTGTTGTCTTCCCGCTACTTTGGTTTCCTCACTCTCCCGTGCTACACCCTTCTCGAGGGCGACCTCGTTCCGGATTGGCATGTACGGCGTACTGCCTTGCCTGTAGGTCCATCTGTTCAACGATGACAGAAGAATGGTGAGGAGAAATGAGGTGTGAACAACGATCACAAGCCCCCCCAAATCAACAAACCTTTTTGCCCCAGCAACATCACAAAAGGCAACCCATAACTAGTGTAGACTGAAACCATCCGGAGTCAACTCCTAGTCTCCTAGCGATAACCCAAAATGCCTGTGACCGATCACCTCAGCGAAGCAACGCAAAAAGTCGGAGAGGCAAAAACACCACGTCAACCTCCCTAACCCCCAAAAACCATACATCTCACCTTGACCTCAAGCACCGCCAGCGTGTCATGCATTGCATGAGAATGGGATTTCTCCTCTCCCCTCCCGAGTGCCGTCAAATCACCATACCCCACCACCTCCCCTTCGGACCACCTACTGTGACCTACACCGTCCGGACTGTGCCGCCCGCCCCCCCTCTTGAATCTCACCTCACCTCACCTCAGGTCACCTATACCTACTTCTGACTATCATGAAGTCGATTCCTTGCGCTCCAGATAAACGTTACAACCCAACATTTCATAAAACAGTTCCGCTCTGCTCGTGTGACGATCCCAAATCCGACAGATCGTGGCAAAAAGTCAGCCACACAGGATGTGTGTGTGTGGCTGAGGCAGCCCTGAAGCCACACGTCCTGTGGCGGTGGTCTGTACGTACACAACCACACAAACCAAGCCACATTCATCTTTGCACCGGGTGCCCCCCTTGGTAGGTATCATCATTTGGTTTGCTTTGGTTGTAGTACCGGTAGATCACAAGCCTCGGCTATCCCTTTGGGAAAAAATTTACGGGGGGTTTTTTTTTTCTCTTTCTCTTCGATTGTGGTCTGCCGCGGCATTTTCCTGCTATTATGCTCGTATTCATCCATGCCTCCAGTTCGCAAAGGACGTCCCATATTCAAGTATCCCGTAGAGCGTACGTCATCCTGATTGGTAAAGCAAGTCATCGTAGTCAGGGCCTTGAAGCCCGTTGTCAGCTCGTCGCTATGCCCTATGCCGCGGACTTTATTCTAACAGAGCCCGAAGACCCAGGAACAGGAAAACTCGTTGGAACAAGATGATGAAAAAGAGAAAAACACCTCCAAGATGCATGCCAGTCCTTTATATCGCGTATACTGTTGGCCATTTGCATTGTCAACGTTACAATAACCGATCCCCTCTTCCGAACACCATGATTGCGTGCGAATGTACTGGAAACACGTGCCGTTCTGGTTTTGCGTGGTATCATAGCCTCCCGCCTCCTATTTATCCTCGCTCCGCCCCTGAACCCCTTCATCTATTGTGCGTTAAACTGCTCTTCCATCTGTTGCGCGGACGCATCCACGTTGTGGTAGTCGAGTATTTCGGAGTACCTGCAAGTAGACCCTCATTAGCACATATATCACGACGACTTCAAATAGCAGCGACTTACATCATGATCTTCCATGTGTCCACGGGCAAATCAGCATCGTTGAAACTCCAGTCGAACTTCTCCTCGGAGACGGGCTCGTCAGAGGGGTCGTGGTAGGGAGCAAGGTAGTCGTGCGAGAGCGCCTCGGTCGCCGTTATCCGCTTCTTGGGATCAAAGACCAGCATTCTCTCCAAGAGATCAATGGCGGAGGGGTCGGCGTTCTTGAACTTGTTCTTCAAGGGTTGCCTTTCGCGCTTGGGCAGGGACTTGACGAATCGGAGAGTCTATGTCCTTGTCAGTAGATAATTCGATAATTGCTTCGGCTCTGCATCAACTTACGTTTTCACTGGCAATGCCGTTGATGACATCGTCAGGAGGAGTGCCCAGAAGCTCGGTGATGATGGAGAACTGGTTGACGTGGTCCTTGCCGGGGAACAGAGGCTTGCCCTCCAGCATCTCGGCGAAAATGCATCCCGCACTCCAGATGTCGACCTCAACGTCGTACTTTTGCCACGTGAGCATGATCTCAGGAGCACGGTAGTATCTCGTCGAGACGTAACCAGTCATCTGAGGGTCCTGGATGCGGGCGAGACCGAAGTCGCAAATCTTCAAGTCACAGTTCTCATTGACGAGAATATTGCTAGGCTTCAAATCACGGTGAACCACACCAGCAGAGTGGACGTATTTCAGACCTCGCTACAAAACCATGTCAATTCGGTTGTCGGAGAAGACTCCGGTCAGGGGCGGACTTACCATGATTTGGTAAAGGAAATACTGGATGAACTGCTTCTCGAGGGGTCTGGAGGTGAGCAATCTGTGCAAGTCGGTGCCGAGAAGCTCTGTGACGAAGTAGATATCCTCGAGGGGAGAAATGAAGATATCACTGAGAGAGATGACCTGGGTGGATATCAGCGCATGCCGACCAGAATGCGTATAGAGAGGCAAGCAAAGGCGAGGGCAAACGTACGTTCTCATGTCTCAAGTGCTTGAGCAGCTTGAGCTCACGGTATGTTCGCTTGGCGAGAACGGGAGTGCTGAAGGGCTTCATAATCTTCTTGACGGCGACATTCTGGTTGGTAAGTTGGTCACGGGCGGAGCTGGCAGCGAAAAGACGTGTCAGCAGATACGAATGAATGGTCGCAACGAGAATTCGTTGCGATGGATGGTATTTTCTCAGACTAACCAAACGAGACCGAAGGCTCCCATACCAACGGGTTGCAGGTCCGAGTACCTCGAGGTGATCTCAAAGGTAGTACCGAAAATTTGTGCTCTAACGAATTCGGCCATTTTCGTGTGATGATCGATCTACCTGATCGAGAAGGATTGGATTTTCGGATTGAGCGGCTGGAGGGGAGAAGCAGAGAGAGAGAGGGAGGCCGATCGGGGAGGAGGATGGAAATTGGTCGTCGTGCGGCGGGGAGGATTAAAGAGTGGTGAGGGGTGGTGGAGTAGAAAGATGACAGCCGGGAGATCGACGGGTCAAATTATGCTTCTGGTGACGGTTCTGCTGTGATGAGCGAGAAACAGGCTCGATGATCAACTCGAATTTGGACGAGGTGAGGGAATTCGAAGAGGAGGTTTTGCGGTATGTGAGGTGTGCGATGGGCAGCTTTCCGTCTGGTCTGCGTGTGTAGGGAAGTCGACAAGAGAGCGGGAGTCGGCTGGATTTGAAAGAGATGCAGCGACGGCGGGGGAGCGAGCTCAAGGATTTGTTGCGCGCTGGAGGGGTGGCTGTTCGGCGGCCTGGTCTTAGGCCTGGTTCTGGGACGTGGATTCTTTGGGCTGGGAGGAGAAGGTCGCTGGCTGGTCGTAGACGGTGGACTGTGGACGGTGGACTAGGTATGGACGTATGGGACGTGGGACGTGGGACGGCGGGCGTGGGACGTGTGGGCGTGAGGGCGTGTGAGTGCAAAATCGCAGCGGGGTAGGTGGGAAGCGTGGGCAGCGAGTGAGCGCACGTCTCTTTCTCCGTTTTGTCCTGTCGTTAGGGGACGGGTGGACTGCCTTCAGGTACGAAGTACTGCTTCCGCGTCTCCTTCTGGGCCTTTTCTGGGATGGGATGGGATCCGGAGCAACCTGAACAATGTGGCAACGGCATTAGCGAGACCTTTTTTTTTTCTTGCAAGGAAGCAAGCAGTACGCAGTACTGTAAATGGCAGCGAATGCAGCTAGGGGGCGACAGCAATAGCGGAACAGGAATCTGGTTTTCTTCTCGATCCTGGCCGCCCATGTTTATTCTCCTTCGTAATTCGCCGTTTTTGCCTATGCATATTCCCTTTTTTTACCCTTCCAGAATTGTCGACTTTCGGTGCCAAGGGTGTCCAATTCCACAATTAACCATGCCGGAGACGGCGTAGGCGGCAGTACTGTAGTACAAGAACGGGGGAACTTATTCGGTGCAAAGGGGAGGAAGTATGATGACAAGGACCAGTGGGAGATGTTCAAGATATTCCCCGGCACAGCATTCTGGTAGGAGGATTTCTCACTTACAGAGTTGAATATTTCGGCGATGCTCTTTTCTTATCCTTCGCGATGTTGCCCTATTCTGTTTGTTTATCCAAAGGCGTCACCCTTCCGCTTTTCGAGTTTCTTCGGGATCAAGTCCGGGCGAGAAAGCTCAAACCAAAAGGTGGCCGTGGTGATGGGCGCGCGAGTGGCGGGCGCACGTGGGGAATGCAGGTAGCAAATCCGCACAAGTGTCGATCGGGTCGTCGTTCTCGTCTCTCGTTCGCTGCTGCCGTGAAGCTGAGGATGCCGTTGGAGGTGGATATACAACAACACCTGTCGATAGATGTGCAGGAGGCAAGGACGCGTATGAGGCTTTCCGGTAGTGGCTCTGATGTTACTTTTCGAATTGTCTTTGGAAGTGAATGTGAGTTATGGAGATAAAAGAGAGATGAGTATCCGGAAACGCATCTGGCTAAAAATGCGAGAAAACGAAAAGTCAAGCAACACACATGAGCAATTCTCGAAGGGGGAAAGTACTTTTGAATGATTCCTAGGAGGCGCGATTGAGTGTGTGAGAATACCTACCTACCCGGGAGGGGGGGTGCTCTCGACAGAGGTCCATTCTACTGCTGTTTAGGGGGGTATGTCCCTAAGGGGTCGCTATGCTGGTTGGGTAACCCTTCGTCTTGAGAGCGGCCCTTACGTATGTAAAAGGACGCTTTTTTTTCTCTTTGGTTTTTTTTTTTGAACAATGTCCTGAGTCCCTTAGCCCCTAAGGTCTCTGCTAGAATCGCTGCTCTATTCTAGGAAGGCTACTCTGCTGACATAGTGGGCTGAGATATAAGAGGAAGGGGCGTACTTGCCGTCGAGTTAACATAAACACTGCGTTATGTACATGGAGCGGTATCTATTGGGGAGACTACTACCTAATTAAGCGATATTCAGCCAGTAGAAAGAATGGCCTCTGCCCTGGCCACCCCCCCCCCCCCCCCCCCCTCCCGCATAGGTAGAGCGGAGCAAGTTCAGAGGGGGTACATGCGAGGGGAGAGGGGCATGCACAAGTCGGCCAGAAGACGGAGAGACACTGGCTGGATCTGGAAGTGACATTGCCCAGCGTGAAAGACGGAAGAGCTTGCACGGTAAGCGTGGGAGTGAAGACAAGACAGGGGTATCTGTACCTTGCTCTGCCCCCGCTGCCGTCTTCCTGTCCAATAATGTAACGAGCCAGACGGGTTACGGTTGAATGTTACTGGCGGGGAGGCGGCGGTAACGACAACTTGTACAAGACGGGCACAGTGGATGGGAAGGGCCGGACAAGGTCAGGTAATAAGCAGGCTACATAAGTATGTGTACAGACTACAGAAGGTCTGACTGGACGGAGAGGCGGGTTAGATGGAGACGGCAACTGCTAACGCAAGGTACTTGAATGTGCACAATAGACTAGGCTAAGTAGGAAGTCACAGGTGACCAAGTCGAAAGGAGTTGACCAAGACTGAGATGAGACGACGGCAGCGGCAACTTCAACCACGTAGAGGAGCAGAATGTCCGGTGTGACTCGGGAGTGCAGACTGCGGAAGTAGAGAGACTTGCTTTCCGATCCGATCTCTTAGGTTCGAGGAGAAACAAGTCGAGATGAGGCTGAACTTATGGTTGTGTGAGGTTGCGTATATTGTCTCTTGCCGCGAGCCTCGGTCTTTTTGGCTTGCTGTTTTGGGAGCGGCTGGCAACAACATGAGACGATGGGAGAATTGCTGCAAGATATCTCAAAATGACCGAGAGACAACGAAAGGTTGACCTGTCACAAACGGAGCTTCATGGAATGGTCTGAGCATCAGCGGCACCGCCAATTTCACTTTCAGCTCACCACGGGCCGAGCTGGGGAATTCTTCCTCCAACAATGCCGTGCCGTGAAAACAAGATTTTGTCCAACTCGCTACTCAGACAAGACAGGCAGGAGAAGGCATCTCGAGCTGTTGTTGGTCGTGATGATGAATTAGACAAGGCGCCGCTCCAGCCGGTCGCAAGTCACATAACTTTCCACTCCCAAGACCGGACGGCATGGTTTTGGCTTGTTTTATCTTAGCGGCAAGGCAGTCGCGAGACAGCAAATTACATTGTTCATTAGACAACTGGTCGGTGAACCGGCGGCAGGGAAGGCAGCGGTGCAGTATCAGCATGGAGTTCTAGTGTACTCGTGGATATCTGGGAGCGGTACAACAATAACAGATCGACGATGATGGGCTTGGCTTGCACTTGCTGTGTGCCCGCCTACCTTGAAGTTACCACTGCGATAACACAGTTGGCAGCTACTAGTTCGTTGTTCCTTCCCCGACGGTCCAATCTTTATCCTCACCTTCCCGCGCCCCTTACGCGAGCATAGGACACCCATGAGCAGACAGAAGGCACGCCAACGGGAGATTGCCCACTTTGTCTTGCCAAAATACCATGTTTTTCTCCAAGGCACTTTTGCCGTTTCCCGTCCAAATCCCTCAATTCCCGTTTTGCTCCTCCACGCCCAAACACCACGGGGGATTTTACTAGGTATCGGACAACGAGCCTCCGTGGCCCCCGTGGCACCTTACCCCCCAGCCTCAAGTTATCTTAAGATACGGTGAGCATTAAACGGTTCCAATTAGCCCCCAACTTCACTTCCTCTTCTTTCTACTGGCACCCCTACCTCAGTTACAGTATTCTCCTTCCCCGTTCCCCATCATCATCCCCTTGCACCACTGGTCGATGCAACTCTCGAATTACCAGCATCATGGATTCAAGACACCATACCTCCTTCTCACGGGGGGCTCGAACTCTGTCGCAGGAGCATAATCCTCAGGTGCGCATCCAATTCCCATGCCAGATCAGATTTACCATCCGCAACGCGACACCTCCGCCGCTTGTGCATGTGCGCACATGTGCATTCTTGTACAATCATTGAACCCGCATACCTCTAGCATTCTTCTCCCTCGACCAGCCTCGTCAGTGGAGTCCTTGCCGGTCTGTTCCGACAAGCTACCTTATATCGACTATCGAGGCACATCTAGAGGACATCGGGGGACTACCAGGACTCCACGGCGAACGCATCCACCCGAAGGCGCTTCCTCCTACCGACTGCGCCACGGCATCCAAGTATTCGTACCTTCAGAGCACATCAGAGGGGCCAGGTGTGAAAACCACCACGAAAAGCACCGCGACCTCTGACGTCATTTTGAGATCGCATCGAGATGGTGCCGGGGAATGGAAACCTTCCTGTGTCGTGTCGCGTTGACGGGCTGGGGAGGGGTGCGTATGTGAACCGTCCCGCTAATCCAGACTCCAGAGTACCTCCCTGCCGCCCCTGCTCTCTCTCCATCAGGTCGAGTCCCTGCTGTCAGCTTAGCGTACAATAGGATGCTAGCCGCTCACTGTCCGGGTTTCTAGCGCCCCGAAACATCGACCTTTCCCCCTAACACGAAATTCGTACCTTTCACACCGTCTCGCAGGGAGCAAGCGACCATCCCGGCAATAACGCTATTCGATCGACGGTCCCAGTCCCTCCCAGTCCCTCCCAGTCTCCTCCCTTATCCAACATCGACCTCGCAGGCGAAGATCGAGAATCGAGAAAACGGTCCGTCACACAGCTCACCCAGCGCACATAACACGCCCATCCTCATTCTCCCCAGCGGTATAGAATCCGGGTGACCGCCGCAAAGCAACTGCGGTAGCCCAAAATTCCCGTCACGGGGCTTCCCCGGCCACAGTAGCCGCATGTTCTAGACTGGCCTGAATATGCCCAATTCAGCGCATTACCTGCTGTAGCTGGACATACGTCCGGCCGCATTGATTGGGCTCCGAGGATAAGAATAATACGGAATGGATCCCATCAAGCCCTTCCGCGGCACGGGAACGGGTAACACCTTTGTGCATAAGTAATGCTCTTTAGAATTCTCGATACTGACTGGACCTCCCAGCTGACCAGATGCTCAAAAACAATAAAGGAGTCTAAGCCCTTTTCGAATTGATTGTGATATTGAATCTCGATTCACCACCATTGGGATAGAATTGTTGATGGCAATCTGGGAACCTCGACTAGAACCGGTTTTGACATGTTTGTAACAAGTCATGCTCTCGATCTCTTGACCGTCTCGGCGATTGAGATAACGGAACCACATTCGCAATTCATCGCCCACAACGGGCACCCGCCAGACACGACACGTGGATTTACAATGTTCGGCTACCATTCTCGGCCAACTCAGGCACAACGATGCATAGCAGCGGCGTCGGTTTTGCTTGTGTGGTTGCAGAGTGGACACCTTTGAGTCAACAATTACCTTTCAGATCCGTCATGATGGAGTAAGATCATGACAAGCAGCACCATCCCACCCGGGAATCAGGAGCTTCCCAGGAACTCTGAGGGTGACATGCGTACAACTTTTGGCACCTTGCGCCCTGAATTCGCTGCGATGGATCTCAAACTGGACCCTTCATGCTGGGAACCTCCAGGGGTCAACCTGTGTATAATCCGTTTGGTGATGCTAATCTGAGCCGCAGAGAAGAAGAAAACGGCGTGGTGCAGCGCAAGGCGGGAGAATGTACGAAAAGGACCCTCCAACTCTCTCCCTACCTCATGCGACCAGCAGATGCACCAGAAAAGGACGGAGTGGTGGGAACACAAGCACACGGTCCAAGGACCCTTCATCCTCTGGACCCTGAACTCTGTCATGTGTATCGAAGATCATCCCGTTCACTTTGACCTGTCAACACGCTGATTCGTCAAAGTATTCCCAACAACGCTTCTTTTCCGTGATCTAGAGGAGTAACCAACACGAGGGTAAGCTCGTCGGCCTTGAGCCGGCGTTATCTAAGCTCCCGGCCGGTTCGAAAATAGCGCTGGAGGCCACGAGGGTTCCTCTATTGACAACAGAATCCGTAGCAGAGGGCGGCCTTCCAACTACACGAATCATTTCCTCCACATGGGAATGCGGCTCTGAAGCCAAAATCACATCCGCACGCGTATTGCTCTACCGAGAGCCACAACTATGTTCTGAGCGTACCATACTATGTCCAGCGTCTATATCTAATCGGCAGTACGGAGTCAAATGTCTCTTCATTGCCGGCCGGCTCTTACCGTTTTGACAGATGAGGAGAGGGAGGGAAGGCAGGAATCAGGGACCTAGCCAGGGCCAGCATTCGTTCCTGTCGTTCCTCTGATGTCATTATGCACCTCTCCTCCAGTCTTGCTCTCCCAGGCTCCAGCAGGGCTGGTTTTGAGTTAGTCCCTTGGTTCACCACAAAAACATATCTGGATCCAGAACCTAACAGGAGAGAAAAGCAGGGTCTCAACTTTTCCCACATTTGCAAAGATGACGACAGCAGTCAACCCAATACAAACCCGACCTTCCTCCCCGGAGGTTGTCCCCCGGACCAAGCTCACTCGCTGCCGACATGCCGTAACGGATCGGTATTATACATCCCAAACGGAGAAGGACGCCGGGCAGGCGGTCGGCCAACCCAAATGCACACACTTTTTGCG